GCTTATTTCTAATTTGTTTCAGTTTATTCTTATTTCATTAATTATTATTAATTTTTTAGCATTAATCTTTTTATTATTGTTATGGTTTTTTTGATATTAGTTTTGAAGATTGATTTAACTTCTACATTTATCTATGATTGTTTTCTTCTATTTTTTTCATTTAGAATTTTTAAAATTTGTATCTATGTTGCTTTAATAGAAGTATAGCAATTTTTTTTTTTAGAAGTGTATATAGCTTTTAGACTAAATTATTAATTTTTTAGATTTTAAAATTTTGTAAGTAGAAAAAAGAATATTTAAAAAAAATCAAGTGATTTTAGTAATTAATTTTATTTTTATGAATTAAAAAAAAGACTTTTCTTATAATTCTTTGTAACAATTGTGTCTATATTTTTAATATTATTATTGTAGATAATATTTTGTTAACTTATTTTAGTCACTAATTGGCATTTTTACAAATATAATAAATTTTTATATTAATATTTCTTTCTAATTAGATTTAAATACAATTTTATTTATAAGTATCACATAAGATTTGCTTATATTGATTAGAGTATTTTTTTGTATTTTCGAAACTAATTAAAATAAAAACAAGAAACCTAAAAGGATTAAATTATTTGTTGTCTATGGCTTTTTACCAAATGGTTGTTAAGGTTTTATGCTAGTGAGAACAATGTTCAAAGAGAGATTATAAAATGTTGTATTATCTTCTAATTACAAAAAAGCTATGACATTACATTGATAGGGAACTTTGATGGCTTTTTTTAATATAAAAATTAGATTAACATATAGATTATAGAATGTAGGTTATTTTATAATATTTAGTAGTAATCAAGTTTGTGTATCAAGATGTAGAAATAAATATGTGTATCAGATGTGTAATATTTAATGTATATGCTTAGTAAATTTTAAGCCAACAAATATCTAATGCATCAAGTATACTAAGAATTATGTCATGCAATGTTTTTTTTAAATTGCCAAAGTTTTTTTAAAAAAGATGATAATTTTGGAGGCAAAAAAATATTTACTCTATTATAAGAATCGGAATATATTGATGAAGCAAAACAAGAAGGTTGTAGCATTGCAAATGCAATTGTATCTTAAATTTGTATTTAAAAACTTTAAACTTTTGCTTATCAATCAATTAGATGGAGTTAGAAGAATGTAGAATATTACCTCTAACATGCACAAGATTGATAAATTTTTGAAGCATAGAAGTTGGTTTAAGACAATGTCCAAAATATCAAATATATATCTAATATTATTATAGAGGATAGACAATAGATTTTGATCTAAAGAAGTGTTTTTATTCTACTCGGATTGTTAAATAGTGATTTGGATATAAAGACCTACATTAATGTCATTATGAAGTGGTGCAACACACCTACACCCTTGTATACTTATACTATCCATTACTTTTACATAGACATATTATAATACAATAACAACTCAATTTACTTACTTTCAGAAGGCGAAGTAACTTCTAATAGATCCAAACACAAAGATTTGTAACAAGTTCATGATATTGTACTACAACACATTCATGCCTTTGTATACCTATGCTATCGATTTTTATATCCAATCATAAGAGATGTATACATAGCATTTACTTATGTTCCTACAAATTCTAATATAATAACATCTTATTAATAAATCAAATTAATTATTTGATTATTATAATAATTAATATTTAAAATAAAAATGATTTATGAAGTTTTTTGATTATATAAAATTGGTGACAAAATGTAGATATATTACTAAATTAAAATAATTATCTTCAACAAAGTAAAGATGGGACATGTAAAAATTTGTGGTGACTTAGAAAATTTCATATACAAACCAATCATAAATTCAAATAAGTAAGCAAGCACCAAACAAGTTTCTTTGACTTAATAGAATTTAGAGAATGAAGTTGTAAAAAACTTATAAATAAATAAATTATGCTTTATACATATTGATACAAAATTGAAAAATAACCAATTTATATATCAATTAATCATGCAATTCACACAACATGTGTAACAAATAATATTCTTGAATAGATTATAAATTATATTGCAAGCTCACCTGATTCTTTTTTACCTAAATGCAAATAGGTATGCAAAACTTACTTCTAAGACATTAATTATACTATCTTTCTTTGTAACAAGATAACTTGTATTCACAACACAAAAGTTACTTCCTAAATAAATGAACATAACTCAATTCTAAATTCTAAATATGAAATCAACCACTTATATCTACTTGTTGTGGTTAGTATTATCATCTACAAATATTAAACATTAGGAGTCAATGGAAGCAATTTGATGTAATAGAAAAAGAAACTTAAACTTATCATATTTTAAAAATGATGAGCACATTGTGTAGAATATAACGTTATATATAAGGAATTAAAAAATGAGATGTTTTAAGAATAATACACAAATGAGAATATATGTCTATAAACATTATTACACCAATACATCCACACATTTTTTCTAGATTTTTTCATAATCTATGAGGTGTTGTACAGTATGTACAGAAGTGATACTTAGCTGTTTTCATTTTTTATTGTAGACAGTGTTATCTTCAAGTATATTCAAAACAGACAATACGAATATTTTCCATCAAAATTTTACATAATGTATACGGTTCACATAGTAAGTTCTTGCGTATCCTGAAATAGTGTACATTGATAGGCAATGAAGTATTTCATACTTGTATAATTTGTAACATTTCTTAAATGGAATGTAAAATTTTATTATCCGCTCTTAATTAATTACAGTTGGTATTTATTATCATGTGAGTTTCTGTTGAATTTCTGTCTCCAATAAGTGGACAAATTGATGTACGCAACATACCAAAGAAAAATTCATCAACTGGAACATGAAACATGAAAACCCCTTTTCATTAGTTTCATGATAGATTAATTATACATTTGCACATTTCTCATCATTATTTGTCTTTACATAAATTAGAGTGTAAATGCAACCAAAGTACTCAGTCGAAGATCAAAGGTAAGAGGCCTCATATTCTATAACACGGCATGGAAAACTAAAAATTTAACATTTCAGAAATGTTGTTAGTTTACAAAGGGTCCTTGAGTTTCAATTCATATTTCCCACCAGCAAGGTAGGAGCCCGAGCCTACGAGAGGCACGGATAATGAATAGAGTAGAGACCTCATATTAAAAAAAGAAGAAATAAGAAAAATAATGAAATACAGAATTGCATTTTCAGTGCAATTGTGGTATTGTCACCAGCCATACCATTTCTACAAGCTCTCATTTTGCATGCAGTTTTCTTCACATTGCGCTGCTACCACTCACAAGCCTCCCTCGGACAGCAGAGAACTATGGGCAACTCTCAATAGGAGTATAGAGATATTTTGACCTTCAAGGTTGGCAGACCATGGCACTCAACCTGAGACCAGTCTCTAATTTCATGAGGAAAAGGAGAGGAAAAGGAGAGAGATAGAGAGAGAGGGAGAGGGAGGAAAAGGATCAGAATGGGGACTCACAGGAATTAAGACCCAGAGGGACTTTTACTGTCAATATTTGAGTGCATCTAAAAGTATATCACAAACGGAGTTGGGTTCGGGTACGACTATATTGGAGCTCTCAATTGGAGCAACATCTTCTCGGCCGTAGTTGCCAGTTGCACCGAGCTTCCCCTCGGAGCTTTCCTCTACAACATCTTTTATGATGATGGTCTTGTGGGTCCCTGACAACAATCCTTCATAATCGGTGTCACCGGTTTCGCCCACGACCACAAACATGTTGACGACATCCACATTCCAGCGAGCAAAGAAGTACCTGTGCAGGTTGGAACTTGGTCATCAGAAATCTATAAAACAAAGAGGAAAAAACAAAATCAAAAACAAAACGCTCAACTGATGCATGTGCAACCTGATGGCATCTGAAATCTTCTCGCGCCATGGTCTTGCGGAGGCCTTTGTAGCCCCATTGTTAGTCAATGTGGCTTTTGTAGTCCTCGTCTGCATGCAAGTCGCTGTTGTCCGTTGTGATGTTATCGTCTTGAATTGAGGCAGAATAGTACACCTCACTTCCACTGCTGCAAATAATAGCGTCGAACTCCATGTGAGACAGCCCCGCAGAGTTCAGCATAGCAACAGTCTCCGACTTCGTCAGAGCAGAGGAGATGATCAACCCGGGTTGAACTCGAATGTTCTAGTCTGACCGAATCGACTTCACAATGCCTTGAATCAGACTCTCCAATCTGCTGCTGGGCTTGTAGGTTGTGGGGTCATATCCATCCACAGCTATGACCACGAGGCGTCTTCGCTTCTTCAAGGGTTGAGCCTTGTGAGTGCCTGTTGAAGAGCTAAACCTACTTGTCTCCGGCCCTTCCTCTCGCATAGATTCCATGCGTTCGCTCACGGTGCGCTGCTTTCCTGCCAGGGGCTTGAAGTCCTCGAGCCCATTCTTCTTCCCCAAACTACTTCGACCCTTGAGAAGCCGCTCTAGATCCGCAGGATTTGAAATGGACATGTTGCCATCGACACTGATATTGAACTCAAATTCTGAGTTCAATATAGATTCATGCAATAAACTGTGGTGTTAAATGCGTGTACAAAAATACTACCTTAACAAACATCCTTCAACCAGTTGCACCTAATTCCATGATTCTTGAAGTTGAAAATTAAAATTATAAAAATTATGAGAAAAAATCATAAAAAAAAACTATTTTTTTACATGCATGTACTAATTTCGATTTTTTTAGTATAAATGACGTAGCAGGGTGGAAATTATTTTTCTACTAAAGCCAAGCTTGCAAAGTTTCTGGTATTGAAGAGAACGAACAAGCAGAAACGAGGTTGGATGCTTCAGTGGTCGGGTATCGGTACCAGCAGCCGGGTACACGCATCCTCAAGGATGCAACGACAGGGTATATGTACTTCACACAATATGAAAGGTACCCGGGTATACATATAGTCCCAGGTACTGGACCAAACAGAGCAGGGTATGAGCGGAGACGATGAGCTTTGGGCAAAGGGGAGGGCAAAAGCAATGAGAAGCTCCCATTTCGACCTCTTGAATCCGCATCTTGCCCGATTGCGGTCTTACCGGAGGTCGATTCAATAGATTTCTGCTCCGTGGTTGCGCCTCGGATGTGGCTGTGGCTTTGAACTGGGTGAGAACGATAGAATTTTGAGTTTTTTCGGAGGTTAGAGTTGAGGTTTGATCGATGCAGGGGGGGTTGGCAATGCAAGCAGCTACGCTGCCTTGTGCATTCTCGCGTGCTACCTCACCATCGTCATGCTTGTCGTCGCGCGCTTCGACTGCCATTCTCCCCTTGCAGGTCAGTAAATTTCTGCCGCAATGCCGCTGTAGATTCACTTGGCTCTTTGAATGATTTGCTTTTACGGTGATTTTTTTGTGTTTGGATTCCGTAGCGAGCGTTTCTGGGTACCTGGGCAGTAGTTTTACTTGATTACCGAGGGAATGAGTGGGTAACTGTTTGATTCATTGCGAGGTTGTGCTTGCGCCGAAGAGCATTTCTTGGTGTGATCATCTGCGTGCCCCTCGTTCGGGATTGGGTTGTGCTTTTCCAGCAAATGTTGCTAGTTTCTTTCTAGGATAAGAACCAATTTTGTGGTTGGTTTCTTGATGCAAACTTCTGTGCGTGTCTCTAATGTAGCAGAAGCCCTCGCATTTGGTGACACCGATTTAGATGGTCATTTTTATCCATCTCAAATCCCGCCCTGAGGTTGTGGTTATCTCATTGAATTGCGAGGGCAGGTGGTCCATTCCCCTCCTAAAATGCGATTTTGCTAAAGACACTGTTAGTCAGATTCAACCATTCCTTTTAATGCTGTTGCGATTCCCTTGAGCAGTTAGGAGCTGGGCAGCTTAACCTATGCAATGAACGAGGATATCATCAATCTGGAGTTCAGCAAAGGGTAGCTCCCAAGAAGCAACATGTCTGGCGGTGCGCAGCGACCACGGAAGGAAGGAAAGCGCCCAAAAGTCAAATGCTGGTATTAATGCTGTTATTTCTTACAGTCAAATCGTGGGGGTTTTAGGGTTTTAGTTTTGGACCTTTTCCGTAAACATTTCTTCAATCGTCTTTGGAATTTTGTTGTCTTAATCCTTAAAGGTAAAAAGAAATTGACTGACATTCCTTCATCTTCTTCCAAAGATTCTCGGAACTAAACGAACAACATCGAGATTTAATAGTGTTCAAAGCGGATTGTCCATTTATAATTGTTCCCGGCGGTACTCTGAATGTATTTATTGATCACCAGCATCCAGGCAACGTAAATAACCCATCTAATTATGTATTTTCTTAGTTTACTTTTCTTTTCTTTTCACCAACTAAACATAGCTATTACTAATGGCGACAGGTATTTGTGCCACCTCACCCGCTCATCAAACATTGGGTTTCAGTCCTCCGCAATGACTTCTCTCCGCCTCCAATATTCAGTAAGTACTGCTATCAATAAGGAGCTAGTGTGTTTATGGCAGTATGGTTCACAACGTACTTTCAGTTATCCTTGAGTTCATGGCAGTATGAAATGTCATGCGTTTGTGACACCGATAGAGTGAAGAACCAAAAAGGTTTTCAGTAGAATCTCACCTTCTGCACTTCTGAATGTTTGTAATACGTAGTAATTTTTTTCAGAGTGGATGATTAATAACTAGTAGGCTCTGAATCTTTTGATGCGCTAACATCAGGGCTTTGACCTGTTGGCTTGACATTGTCGGAATTGCTCCTAATTTGCAGGAAGCGCCATGGCAGAGCTGGGGCGACTTTTAATCTATGAAGCATCTCGCGATTGGCTGGTAATTACTGCCCATTGACTTCGATCTCTGCTGTTCACAGTTTGTGGCTCGCTGAAAGGCTACTGTACCGTGTTGGAGATGTTGAAGTTGTTCTCTTACAACTCGCATTAATGATATTGGACAGCTTACAGTAAGCGGAGAAGTCAACACACCTTGCGGGGTTGCTGACGTGGAGTTCATCGATCCTAGAGAACCTGTGAAGGTCTGTTTCCTCTTTATTTAAGCATGAGCGCGGTGATAGTATGCAGCCACTGACAATGTTAGCATTCACCTGTATTTTGTGGGACTTTAGGTAATCTATAGACTGCTTTGTTCTCACTTTTTCACAAATTGTTCATATGTTAGAGGCTCATGTGAGGACAACGGATCTTAACAGGTTGTCCCTATTCTTCGAGCTGGTCTCGTACTTGTTGAGCAAGCGGGATGTGTCTTACCCGCCAGTCAAACCCTCCACCTCGGTAAGCCACATTACTATATATGGAGAGAGTAAGAGCAATACCTAAGAATGAAGTTGAAGGATTTAGGCGCGTCATGTTAACCTACGTCACAGTTAAACCAGGGTTGATTAATATCGTGCGAGATTTTTTCTTTTTAAATTTTTCTCTGCAACAATATCATTCCACAATGTACTTGATAATGTGAGTAAATATCATCGGTTAAAATGTAAAGCGAACAAAGCTTTTTTCAAGCCAGCGACAGGCATTGTTTTCGAAGGGTATTTGAAAATCGTTTCACCGATAAAGATGATTGTTGATACAGGATTTGTACGGAACGAGGAGACTCTTCAACCAGAAATGTACTTGAACAAGTATGGTGGATGTTCTGACGAAGCTTAGGAACTTTTCTTTTTTCTTTTTTCCTTTCTTTTTCATCAGTGTTTTTAAGCGTCATGCTTATTTCACGTTCGAGTTAATGATATTAGGATGTGTTATTAAGACATTAGTCCTTGTTTGTGCAGGCTCCCAGAAAAGTTTGAGGAAGGTGCGAGGGTGCTTGTGGCTGATCCAATGCTTGCTACAGGTAAAACTCATTCAAGCTGAACCGTCATTATAGTTTTCATAATTACAGACAACAATCGATGTGTACCAATTTGTATATTTCAACTAATTAGCTAATTAGTACCTAGTTGCATTATCTACCATATGCGTTCGCTAAAAACTTTATAGCAGTCGCATTTCTCCGAATTCTACTTCGAACGGGCTCTGATGTACAAGTTAGCCGCTGGATTGGATCTGTGGCTGCTACCCATTATTGCTTTGTGAAATGAACGGATTTCTTATAGCAGTGTATGACATGCAGGTGGAACAATAGTTGCGGCTCTCGAAGAACTCACAAGTCGTGGTGTTGATGTTGAATTAATTCGTGTGGTGAGTCAAGGATGATCTAGTGTTCAAGTGCTGCTGCTCTTGGCTGGTGTCTATGATTCGATGGAATTTACTAGTAATTCTGCGTCATGTTCTCTGACTTCCATGTCTGGCATTATGTGCAGATAGCGGCTGTTGCTGCCCCTCCAGCATTAAAAATACTTAGTGAGAAATTCCCAGGGTATGATATTTGGCCTTACTCCTCATCTTGGTTCATTTGAAGACAATTTGTACATACTCGAGCTACCAGCATACTAAGCTTTTTGTTATTGTTATTATTATCTTTTCATCCATGATTGAACACATTACTGTGTAGGTTAAAGGTGTACGTGGGGATTATTGATGAAGGTCTCAATGAAAAAGGGTAACGCCGATCGCCATTTTTTTGCAAAAAAAAGCGAATTTTGTATCAATACATTTCTAGGACACTTAAGTGGGTTCTTTGAATCGTCATTCACAAATACGAAGTTAATGTTTTTCTCGTGGTGTTTGGGTGCAGATATATTGTTCCAGGACTTGGCGATGCTGGTGACCGTAGCTTTGGTACGCTTTAAAAATATGTTCAGCTATAGTGCAGTCTTGTTAGAACACTCCAAACATATTAAACAGGCACAAATGTTCCAGAAAGTTTTTGTGATCTGGGCACCACTTTTAGCGTTTTTGCTATCGTTCTTTTTAATTTTTATTTTCCTGAAACGAAAAAATCAAGAATCCCTCTTTACTGGGTGCTACTCCTTGCATCAGTTCGAGATCTCATGCAATCCTGGCATCCTTTTATTTATTTTTGGTGATCGAATTATGTTCGAATCCTCTTGCTCAACATCAAACTGGAAATTATCCCTGATTCTTGCCTCTGTCGCTTCTCTAGATTGGTTGTGTCCACGGTAAATTGCATTAATCCCTAATTTAGGTTGTTCACGACATACCTATTACAACACATTAGTTACATTACATCTATAGAAAGAAAACTGGCACCAGTTCTGTAGCATTGATAATCCTCACTCCTCTGATGTGCACGTTTCTGCAACGCTTGCTTTGTAATTCAGTGCCGTGTTGGGGTAGAAAAGTGCTGTCGTAGTAGAGTTCTCTGGCCTCTATTCCAAGTGGCCATAAATCCCCGCTCCACCCTGACTTTCCCCTAAAAAGAATAATATCTAACCTGCATAATGTGAGATATTACGAAAAGCCACGAAAAAGAACCATCCGCCAGCAGAAAAAGCGACGCCCCGAAGCCTGATTCTGTGAGAGATCGAGCAGCATCCCCCCTCCACAAATGAAATCGCAGCCATTCACTGCCCCCTCTCGATGATGTCGTCAGGACGTCGATCCGAAATGCTGGCACTGATTTGCCGGACAAGGACGCGGTGACGACGCCGCTTTGCACAAACAGTAAAGGATACCAGAACGATACCCCAATTCCTCGAAAATTGCAAAACTAAAACCTAAAATGGAAGAAAAGGGCACCTTTACCAACAAAACAGATGGAGGAGAAGGCCAACAAGGGCCCTTTTCTCCTCCCATTCTAAAGGGTGCCGTCCGATGGGCGGGGTTCAACCCACAGTGGGAGTTGTGAAGCGGCGATACCCTCCCTCGCACGCCGCCCAACCCATCCCATCTCGTCCCGTTTCGTTAACTTCGAAGCCAGCCTTGTTGATTCTCTCCCTCCCGCAACCTATCACAGTGCCCTGCCCATTTGGCATCAAGACGTCTGTGCCTCCTTCCTCACACTCCCCTCGTGCTCTATAACTCTAGGGTCGGCTTGTTGCAGCAACCCAGTCTTGCGTACTCACGCTCCTCCTTTCCTGCACAACCCACCTTCCACTCCTTGCTCGCTTGGAGTCTAGGCTCCAGGGTGTGGGTGAGTGTCATGTCCTCTCCTAGATGTTGTGTGCTTTGTTTTTTTCGGTTTGAGGATCGATTTCTCTTGATTTGGAGACCGTATTGTTTTTAGTCTGTGTTTTTTCTTGTTAGGTTGTTTCGTTTTCGTTGTGGGTGGGTGTCGGAATGCTGTTGGTGGATTAGAAGAGTTTCTGACGACGTTTGGGTAGTGAAGAGAGGAGGTGCTGTGTTGAGGGTTTTAGAGTTTGATGGAGGTTTTGGTGTTGTGTGGCAGAGGTTGTTGAGGTTTTGGGTGCCTGTGAGAAGGATTTCAGCAATGGCGGAAGCAGTTGCAGCTGGAGTCGGGGTGTCAAGAATCGGCCTAGCCGGTTTGGCCGTCATGGGGCAAAACTTAGCCCTGAATATTGCGGAGAAGGGGTTTCCGATTTCCGTGTACAACAGGACGACCTCCAAGGTTGACGAGACTGTGGAGCGGGCGAAGGAGGAGGGGGATTTGCCTCTGACTGGGTACAAGGATCCCAAAGAATTCGTGATGTCCATTCAGAAGCCCCGTTCTATCATTCTTCTGGTGAAAGCTGGCGCTCCTGTGGACCAGACAATCCAGACTCTTGCTCAGTACATGGAGCCTGGCGATTGTATCATCGACGGAGGCAACGAGTGGTACGAGAACACAGAGAGGAGGGCGAAGCAGATAGCCGAGAAGGGGCTGTTGTACCTGGGAATGGGAGTCTCGGGCGGAGAAGAGGGAGCTCGTAACGGGCCTTCTATGATGCCTGGTGGTACAGAAGAGGCTTACCACTACATTGAAGACGTGGTCAAAAAAGTCGCTGCACAAGTCGATGACGGCCCATGTGTGACTTATGTGGGTCAAGGTGGAGCTGGAAACTACGTGAAGATGATTCACAACGGAATCGAGTACGGTGATATGCAATTGATCTCGGAGGCCTACGATGTCTTGAAGTCAGTAGGAGGACTGACCAACGAAGAGTTGCATGAGACGTTCGCGGAGTGGAATGAAGGAGAGCTGGAGAGCTTCTTGGTTGAGATCACGCGGGACATTTTCTCCGTCAAGGACGACAAGGGTGACGGATTCCTTGTCGATAAAATTCTCGACAAGACGGGGATGAAGGGGACCGGGAAGTGGACCGTGCAACAGGCTGCGGAGCTCTCTATTGCGGCTCCCACCATCGCTGCTTCCCTCGATTCTCGTTTCCTCTCTGGGTTGAAGGAAGAGCGTCTGGAGGCGGCACGTATTTTCAGGGAAGCTGGGGTGGAGGACATCCTCGCTGTAAAGAGCCTCGACAAGAAGCAGCTCGTCGATGACGTTAGGAAGGCACTGTACGCCTCCAAAATCTGCAGCTACGCGCAGGGCATGAATCTCATCCGTGCTAAGAGTATTGAGCAAGGCTGGGATCTCAACCTCGGTGAGCTCGCCCGAATCTGGAAGGGAGGTTGCATCATTAGGGCCAAATTCCTCGACCGCATTAAGAAAGCTTACGACCGCAACCCAGAGCTCGCTTCCCTACTGATCGACCCTGAATTCACGAAGGAGATGGTGGAGAGGCAATCTGCATGGCGCCGAGTGGTATCCCTAGCGATAGAGGTCGGCGTCTCTACTCCCGGCATGACAGCCAGTCTTGCTTACTTCGATACTTACCGAAGAGGCCGCCTCCCTGCCAACCTCGTCCAAGCTCAACGGGATTACTTCGGTGCCCACACATATGAGCGCATCGACATGCCCGGATCTTACCACACTGAGTGGTTCAAGATTGCCAAGAAGGTCGTGAATTCCAAGGCCTCAGTGAATCCTTCAGCGTAGAAAAAAGAACTCTAAAGGTATGATTCAATGATCAATAATCATCCCGTACTCCCTTCGATGAGATCCATAACTTAGATGAGCTACTCGCGTTTGTACAATTAGAGGTGGTCGATCCGCTGTGGCTTCCAGCAATTGTTTCTAGCCATAAAACAATTTTGTACCTCTTGTCTTGGCAAGCTATTCATAAGGTGCTTGCTGGATGTGGTAGTTGTGATGAGAAAATGATAAAAGAATGTGACCAGATAGTGCAATTGCACTACCACCATTCGCCTCCGGTGTGCTCCAAACATTTTTATGATGTTTCATTCATGATAGATCCTCAAGTGCATAGATACTTGGATGTTGCGTTGAAGTCTCGATTTGCTATGTAGCTCATTGGAACGTTTCGTCACAATTCTTGCTCTGGTGTGTATGAGAGCTTCCAGTGAGATACTTTAGTATCCTTCTTTGTTTGCCGGGATCCAGGAGAGGTTTTTGCATTTGCACTGGGCAGTTGTAGAGTAGTTCATACGATTGTTGGAAACAATTGCGCGTGGAAAATAACCTAAATCTGTTTTAGAAGTGGCCGCTGGTTTCAACTAGTGCATAAAAGTTGTGACGAAATGTGGTTCTCCTCCACGTTACTGTCCTTTTGGTCCCTTATTTACTGGATGCAGTTTTCTGTTAGCTGGAGCAATAGTCGCGGTTTAGCCACCACACTGAGAAGGGTGTTAACAAATATCCTCATTGATTTAGGTAAAGGTTTTTAGGAAAGAGAAACCACACTGAGGGTATTTGTTGATGAATGTATGACGGCGTTCCTGGTGTAACTGTTTCTGTTACTCGCGCTTGGCCTGGTCTAACCGTTGCCAGTGGTTTCAACTGCCTTGGTTCCCCTCTCCACCCAAACTGTATAAAATTTCCATTATCTGAAACTCTGGTGTTAGTTACCTGTCACACAATGTCATTATCTGATTTGGCGGAACACTTCCGTGGAGAGAACCTTTTATCGTTGACAGTAGGCATCTTCAATGAACTCAAATATGCGTCAAATTCTCAACAGTGCAAAATCTTGAACCACTAGCTATCTCGGTTTCGGCCTTCATTTACTGCCCTGACGATAATTTATTTGGACTAATTATAAAAGCAGTGAGCATCTTTCAATAGCTCAACTCCCTGGTCAACCCTATCAATTGGCAAGTTGTCTCGTCTTCAACGTGTGTCTCGTAATTTAATTAACCATAACTGAAGGATGAGAGAATGCATTAGCATTCACATTGGACAGGCAGGAATTCAAGTGGGCAACGCCTGTTGGGAGCTCTACTGCCTTGAGCATGGGATTCAGGTACAAAGCAATCCTATCATGGTACATGCATTTATGGAAAGAACTAAACCTGTGAATGAGTAAAACAAGACGCGTGTGACTTCACCGGCACTTTTTTCATACACCCAACTCATTTTTACCTGTATGTCTAGATTCAGAGTAGTCCATATGACAGACTCATGAGCCCTATGAACCTCCTCATGTCTTTAAAGCCTCATACCAATACTTAGCAACAAGTAGAATGAAGGTAGAAATCTGGATCACATGGTTGCTTGATGATTGTGAGTCGTGCTCTTGTGGTTGGGACAGCCAGACGGCCAGATGCCTTGCGACAAAACTCTTGCAGCGGGAGACGATGCGTTCAACACATTTTTCAGCGAGACAGGAGCTGGGAAGCATGTCCCTCGAGCGGTGTTCCTTGACCTTGAACCCACGGTCATTGACGAGGTGCGAACGGGCACTTATCGCTCTCTGTTCCACCCGGAGCAGCTAATCAGTGGGAAAGAGGATGCAGCCAATAACTTCGCTCGAGGTCACTACACCAGTAAGATCACGTTCCAAACTCCTTATCGGGTCAACGTTTTTGCACATCGTGCCATCTGTTCTCTGCAGCCATGGTTTCTTGTGGAGATAGATGGAAAAAAAAAGCCAAAAAGTTTAACCAGCAAATTGAACTGTCGGGAATATGCAGTTGGCAAGGAGATAGTGGATTTGTGCCTGGACCGGATACGCAAGCTTGCCGATAATTGCACGGGCCTACAAGGATTCTTGGTATTCCATGCGGTAGGGGGAGGAACCGGTTCTGGTCTTGGTTCTCTTCTCCTCGAGCGCCTTTCAGTCGACTACGGGAAGAAGTCGAAGCTTGGTTTCACGATATACCCGAGCCCCCAAGTTTCAAACGCAGTGGTGGAGCCTTACAACAGCGTGTTGTCTACCCACTCGTTGCTGGAGCACACCGATGTGGCCGTCATGCTTGACAACGAGGCCACTTACGACCTCTGCCGACGCTCTCTTGATATTGAGCGTCCCACCTACACCAACCTGAACCGCCTCATCACCCAGGTTGAAGATCACTTCCAATCCTTGTCATAATCATAAATTTCAGAAAAGAGAGCTCAGTCTTTCAAGCTGATCACATCAAGGGAAAAGAAAATGTGACGTGAATAGGGAGTCTTAAAGCTCTGCCGGACACAATGTTGCGGCTCAAAGAAATGTAAAAAATCAACACTACTCTAATCACCTCGATATAACTAACTATTTGTAATCAATAAAATATCTACGCAGGTGGTATCCTCCCTGACGGCGTCTCTCCGCTTCGATGGAGCCCTGAATGTGGACATCACCGAGTTTCAGACTAATCTGGTGCCTTATCCACGAATCCACTTCATGTTGTCCTCGTATGCGCCGGTGGTGTCTGCGGAGAAGGCTTACCACGAGCAGCTATCAGTCGCTGAGATCACCAACAGTGCTTTCGAACCCTCCAGCATGATGGCGAAATGCGACCCTCGACATGGGAAATACATGGCGTGCTGTATGATGTACAGGGGCGATGTTGTCCCCAAGGACGTCAACGCATCGGTCGCCACCATCAAAACCAAGCGCACTATCCAGTTCGTGGACTGGTAACCTTTCCACTGCACTCCCTGTTATTCAATCTCCATGTGAATCAAGGAACCATTGTATGCCCTGCTACATTTCCAATTCAAATGCTCAAAATAGAATATCCAACAGACATGTTTTTGTCACTCATATACCAACTGATTATAAACAAGCTTTGCTAAACAAACGTCACTAGTTTGTTACTGTTTTTCTTTTTGAAGTTGCGGACTTGATCAAACCTCTAAAACATTGTTGCAATGGAAGTAAGAAGATGAGTGTTATGTGTGCAGGTGCCCAACTGGTTTCAAATGTGGAATCAACTATCAACCTCCGACGGTGGTGCCCGGCGGCGACTTGGCGAAAGTCCAGCGGGCAGTGTGTATGATCTCCAACACCACGAGCGTTGCAGAAGTGTTCTCTCGGCTGGACCACAAATTCGACCTCATGTACGCCAAGCGAGCCTTTGTGCACTGGTATGTCGGCGAGGGAATGGAGGAGGGTGAGTTCTCCGAGGCCCGGGAGGATCTGGCGGCGCTTGAGAAGGACTACGAGGAGGTGGGTGCCGAATCTGGTGAAGGTGAATGTGAAGACGAAGGAGAGGAGTACTAGGGGGGCGCCTGCGCACATCGCCGTGTGAGATTTAGACCAGCCGCCGAGATCAGGAGTCTAGATGTCAAACTCTGCAAATCCAAATCCAGTAGCTACTTAGCAACAGCCATAGAAAAATGTACACAAGGTGGGTAAATACGTAAAACAGGAGAATAAAAGACTCAAACTTCATGTGAACAAATCTGAAAGAAAAATAAAATGTATGTATATGTATATGCAAGAACATTTTGCTCAGATTTCAGGGTCTAGCCAAAAATTTACTGCAAATCCAAGTCCAATCCACATGAGAGAGTCGGACGTTCAGAAAGACGGAGCAGTGGCGTTGGTTTTCAGAACGAACACAAGACCGTCGTCGATAACTGCTGAGTGTTTTTCTCTTCGCAGAAGAGAACGGCACTGAATAGTGCTGAGTGGTTTTGCAAACTCACCGGAGCACAAGTTAACTGAGAAAGAAATATGTTGTAGTTGTTGAGCATTCTACTGGTAGATGAGTAGCATCAGCAGCAAACTACAAAAAGACTGTTCATAGCATACTCACAAGAGACATCTCTCTCTCTCTCTCTCTCTCTCTCTCTCTCGCTCTAATACGACTACTACTACTACTTAATCAACAGATATATTGTAAAAATCTCATGAGCATTGGACTTGTGAATGGGGGTTATCAGCAATCCACTTATCCAGATCCTCCAATCCTGGAGCTTTTCATGCATCACCACTGTTAACACTATTATATAAACTCACCTCTTGCATGAGTCCCACACCCCTTTTTAACCCCATCCCACTTGTGTACAGCTTCAGCCCTTTTGTGAGTGACTCCCATGCAGACAGACAGACAGACCCTGTGGTCCAGATACACACAACTCATTCTGCCATTGTAATACCCACTATCTGAGAGCAGGAATATAAGAGTTTTGCCCACCAGTACTTGCTCCCACTCTGTTTCTAGCTCCCCCAATTAGATCATCAGATCCACAAAAGTATATATATATATATATACATACACACAAACAAGTGGAAATTTTTGCCAATCAGAAAACTTCTCTTTTATCTCTTTGTCTTATACCCAATCTTTGTCTTATACCCAAGTTGTTTTATATGATAGATACCTCATTACTCATCCCTCTTTACTGGACAAAGCTTAACATCATGTCATTTGGTGTGAGGGTGAAATAATCCTTGCAAGGCATGTCACTTCCAAACAATTGGTACAAGAATATCATTTGAAAAACATTTGTGATTAATTTTGTTGCTACTCATGCATGGATAACGGAGGGAAAATGGAACATGAAAAATGGTCTATTCAACAGATCTATTGCTTGTGGCAAAGTAAACACAAAGAATGAAATAGAAGGTTTGGTCATTATAAATTGATAGTTTTTACTTTTGAGATTCTTTCTTTTTTGATATACATCCTAAAAATGTAAAAACAAAAATAAAAAATATGATAAAAAAATCAAAAAAATAAATAAATAAATTTTGAAATGATTAAAATCAAGTAGAATGTTTTCTTTTTAACTTTAGTAATGTCATTACATTAGACACTAGTTTATTAGAGATAATATTTCATCCTTCGACCATTTTCTTTTAAGCTTGTTTTTGAACCTAATCTAAAATTTACAAATATTATATTATTTAAATATAATTAGCTCCTTTAATTTACCAAATAGCTGAACAAATTTTTTATTTATGTATATATATATACATATATATATATATATATATATATATGAATTTATTAAATTAACTCTTTTTTTAAATGATTTAGAAGTGTTTTCAAAGATTACTAAAAAAGAGGGCAAGATAAGTAAGAAACTATATATATTAACAAAGATGATGAACAAAAATAAATTGGAGAAGTAGATCTTATATAATAAGTAAATATAGAAGGAATTTGTAATTTTTTTAAATTATATAACTATGTCAATTTTATTTTCATAGTAAAAACCTTGTATTCTTTTCTTGTGTAAATCAATCATCTTTGCTTAATAAATATTTCTTCTACATAAATCCAACGAAACAACTACATTAAATCATTTTGTGATCTCTTGTGCGATCATTTCTAGTTCTTCTATTTGATAGTTTTAAATGACCATTAAATAGATAGAATATTGCTAAATCCAATATTATATTGTCACATTATATAACTTGGTCTTTTTTCTTCAAAACTAGAGCATTTTCCCATCTATATTGTCTTTGAATAGATATACACATATAGACATACATACATACATTACACATTTCAAGTTCTCACATCTTTAAATAATATACAATGTCAAGAAATCATTATTGTTATTAGGATTATTATTATTATTAAAGTCAATTTATTTTTATTCAACTAATATGTTTATTTTTATAATATTGAGCTTTTTGTAATTTATGAGAAATTATTCAATGTTTGTTTGTTTTGTTTATCCATACAAGCTTCAGAGAATATGATTCTTATTTTTTAAAATAATATCAAAAATTATAATGACACAATCTTGAATTTCTATAGATATTGTGTGATTGAAATTTTCTTCACTTTTAATTTGGTTTTTTTTTGGGATAAATTCAGAGTGATCTATCAAACGTGAATAAATTTTCATAAACCATACATGATAATCACAAACATTCCAAATTTTATTGGATAATATTAAAACATTGTTTTCATGAAGGTTTATGGTTACAAAAGTGTATTTTACAATCCGTAAGGCAATTCTAACAATATATCAAAATTCATATTCCAAACAATGCTTATTTGATTTGAGCTTTATTGAATTAATTCAAAAGTATTAGTAATAAAAGGTAGACCTTAGATAATTTGATTCAAATTGCAACAAGAACGACTTAAATGAAATTAAATTAAAACTTTTTTGTTGTTAAAGATTTCTTTTATAATTTTCAAAATAAAGTCCTGTAGTTTTTTAAAATTTCTGATAATAAGAAAAAGAATAACAAAATTACTGATGATATAAAATGGTAATACATTACAATTGTGATAGTATTCATGTACTGTGTATCAGTATTTTGTGATTATTAAATACAAGATAGGCATTAAATCCAAGAGTTTTTTTTTTCATTTTTTCAGAAATAAAATTTGAAGTATTTTATTACAAATTCATTACAGTTTAATTAAATGAACAATTGTTTACTAAATCTATTTTTAAAAGTAAAATTTTGAATATTATGTTTTTCAAAATAAATAATAATAATCTATAACTTTCTATAAAAATAGTGGAATCAATATATATATATATATATATGCACATGCATCGTGATGAGAATCGAGAGACAGTTCATAATCACACGTGATTGAAATAATGCCTAAGCAAGAATTCTAGCTTGTAAACAAAGTCGAATGATACTGAATCGAGGCAGAACTGCACAGAAAGAATATGTCAAAGTATATGCCAGAACAGGAATCAGTCGTCATATGAATTCACGTGACTTCTCCAGGAGAGTACAAGGCATACCAGTAAAAGGACCATGCGAAAGTGTGAGCCCAATAGAACCCACATATGCCGTAATTGTCAAACGTTAACACTGTTTTCTGATCAAGGACTCGTCTAATCACAGATTCAGAACTAGAGTAGAATTACACTATGAAGGTCAAATAGAGCACAGCTAAGAACGAATTAAACTCTCAACCGTTACACTTACCCCTAGTCTTGCAGCAAGTGTGCATGAGCACCTCAATTACTTGTTTTGTCTCTTCAGACCACCAAGTTGATGAGGGTACAGAGTAGATATATATACTACAGGATATGTAACTGGGAACAAAATGACTATCAAGCACGCTTCACTTCAGGACCTCTATCTTTTCTACGGAGACGCTTGATGTCAAGAATCAATCACGGAAAAGGGTATCACACCAGAACTAACTCCTGCTGCTTGTGAAATCTGCCACGATTTTCAGGATGGAGGATGAGTTGCCACCGCCCTCGCATAATCAGATCGTTTTCAACACCATCCTTATTGCAAAAACCCGGATGATTCGGCAAAGCTCTATGTTGTTCTTGTGCTCATCAGCTATTACTCGTTTCCTCCGAGACCTGTACAAGTGTGGAATTCGGATTGCTGAGCTCCACCTTCCGGGCTTCATCGACTAATTCTCTTGCGGATGTCGCAGTCGACTGTGAACTGCTGGATTCCATTGCACCACCGTGCTCAGCGCCGGTTTTGGGCACTTTGATTTCCAACAGGCGCTCCACTGGGGTCCGACAAATGGGGCAGCGATTGGTTTGAAACCTTAACACCTTGGCGCATTCACTGCACATACACTGTGATCCATCCCCACCCAAAATAAATACCCAGTTAGTTAATAGGAGGCAGGTAAGCGCTAGATGGATTGGGGAATTGGTAACATTACGATTATTGCTCACCTCACGAGTGAAATAGTGCACATGCGACTTATGCTACAGATGATGGAAAACTAGACGACAGGGGAGTTTAACAGGCCCAATCGCCCAGTACGAAGGAATAAATTTTCAAAATAAGGGGAAAAAATATTATAAAGCTGAATTGAAACTTTAGACTTTCGTTAAAATTATCTTTAAAAAAAAACAGTGAAAACCGTTACTCGGAAAACCATAACACCTATAATTGCATGCGAGGAGAGCTACTAGATGAGAAAAGCAAGAGAAGATGCACAAGTATGAAATAATTAAAAAATAAATAGGGCAGCATGATGATTTTGTTGTATTTAACTGATGACATACCTACTGCATCAGCGCTTTCCCATACACCGGCTAGATCAAGCAATTTCAACGACAAGGACAAGTGGTCTCACCATGTGTCGACAAGGCAGGACAGTTGTATCCCGAGGTTCGGACATACAGACAACGCATTCTTTTCCAGAATCAGTGCCATCAAAATTACCACCCCCTCCACTGTTCTCGATTCCATAGATCTCTTGTAGCTCATATCTTTCACCAGCGATCCAAATGATTTGCTTCACTACCCGCACCTGATATGCATCATCTTCCTTCTTCTCAATGATTGCCTGGGTGATCTGAGAATGGACCCACTTTGGTAGCGGAGCTCCAAGTGGCAATGAATCTCGCGGTGGCTCATCAGCGGGGGGAGATTTGGGCAATGTTTCCATCCGGATCACTAACGGGAAAACGTTATCTTCTCCACCTTTCATCAAATCTTTCTCATCAAACTTAGATAACTTGCAGCCTGTCCCTGGGGACTGCCTGAACTTTTGACCTAGCCCTTTCTCAAATTCTGATCGCACCGGCATGAAGGCATCGGGTTTCACTGGTGTTAGGCAGCAGTTATCACCCTCTTTTGCGAGGAAGAAGATACATATGCTGCACAAAGAGTCGAGTCCAAATAAGAAAAAAGAAACAACAGAAGCGTCACGAGATGATAACACCATAAGACCAGAACGCCACTGAGAATCCTTACACATAACGTGTAGTTGATACCAACCAAATATTAAGCAACGAAGAACCCTAAACTAAGATGACGACTCTGAATACTTCCAATATCCAACTCATCTATATTTTCCACTACTTCCAATGTCACATAATCGTCAGAAATTGAAGTCGAGGAATTGTAGGATCATGAGAGGGGATTTCTCGGCAAAATAAGCAATCCTAAGGTCAAGATAAGTATAAGAGCTGACCTTCCATCAACGGTAGCATCGAAAGAGAAAGCCACCAGGTAGGAACCCGGATTTTCTTCATCTTGCTCCAGCCGCAGCGTAGCTTTCTTCAAATTTACATCATTCCGGATTGTATTTGCTTTCTGATGCTCTGGAGGCCGTGGTGGGGGCATTCCACTTTGCTGCGGCCTATACATTTGTGGCGAATGTGGATTCATCATGTACTGCCCATTGGTTGGAATAAAATTCGGAGTGTAATATTGGGGACCCGGCATCGCGCCGTTACTGTGAGGAGGAGGAGGATACCGATAGTGAGATACATGAGGTACGTAATATCCAGGGCCTGCTGGTGGTGGCGGGGGCACATGACCAGCCGGATATCCAGAAGGTGCAGGGATCATCCGAGGCGGAGGTGGAGGCGCATACATGGAGCTCTGCGCCGAAATACGATTATTCCTCCGACTACCGCTTGCCAAATTCCCCATCGCACTGCAGCCACTCTCAAACCCAGAAAAATAGAAACCCAATTCAAGCCTAAAGCTTGCAATTCAAACCGATCCTTGATCAATCTCAGCGCCCTCTACCTCATTTAAGATCTACGTCCATTCCAATTCCACTCCAATCCCCACGCATCTCCTCTAATCCGAAATTCCCCACTTCCTAAACAAGGAAACCACCGCAACCCACAAACGTCAAGGGCAGAACCCGAAACACCCACCACGCCATTCAATTGCACCTCCCATCCGATTCACCGGTCCGCAAACCCTAACAATCCTCCCATCCACAATTATGGAGACCTCACCTCAATTCCCTCCGTCTTTTCCCACACGACCCTCGCTCGATTCTTCCTCCCGTCGCCGCGTTCCGCGTGCACATCCACATGTGCACCTCGTACCACTCGCTCGCTCTCTCTCTCTCTCTCTCTCTCTATCTCTCGCTCTCTCTCCAACACCGCAACAAACCCCCGCGCCACGAGCCCAACAAAACCCAATAACAAAAGAACCTCGGATTGCCGCCCACACCTGCAATAATATAACAGCGGACTCTCGCTGCCGAGACTCTTCGACGGATCCGCGCGGTAGTGATCGAGGAAGGGGCTGAGAATGCCTGGTGGAGCGCGTAAGCAGGACGGTCCGCCATGGCCATTGAGGTCAAGACAGGCGCCCTGCTCTCTCCCTCCCACAGTGTTCGGCGTGGACCCCATCCCCTTAATCAAGTGTAAAAGAAAAAGAAAACTGAGAAAACAAATCTTCCCAGGTGGAAAGATACCCTCTGCTCTGTCCATTCTAGGATAAGCATAGGCCTGGAAAGAAATCCAACGATGCCGGTTGCGCCGGTCGGTCTCGCGCCCCGTTCTACGCACAGTATTCTCATTCCATCCACGACCTTGTATGCGTCGTCTTGTCTTCGCATGAGTTGGATGAACAGAAAACGCACTACGGATACTAACAATCATCCGCATGGATGTGAGATATTGTACCTTAAACTATATTTGAAGAATCAATATGGCAGAAAATAAAGTATTCCATTTGAGAAAGAATGCACACATTGGGTTTAAATAATCAACCCTAGATTGTGATTGAAGTAATTGATTGGCACTAAAATTAATTTGTTGAGTAGTTTGCTAAAAGATGGATGTGGGTATTTCATTTGTGTCCAAATGTTCTAACATGACAATTGGTTTATTTTGTGACCTAATTTTATTTGATACTCGTTCCATCATGATCCTAGGGTTTACTTGGTAACTCTAAAGGCATTTTAGATGTAATGGTGGTGATAAAAGTGGAATATCCCTTTAATAGGCTTATTTGTCAACAATTCAAATTCAAAACACTTTTGTGCAAGTACTTCCAACCCACAACATGAAACTTCTTAATAATGAGATCCAATGCTAGTCACACTATTCCATGACTTTTTAGATATTGCAAGGTGATTTGTAAGATTGGAAAAAGTAAGTTCACATAGTATAGTACTTTCTATAGTTTCCAACCACATCCACCTTTGTTCTAAACTATTGAAGAAATTAAAATTACAATAATAAATGTAAGAATATATATATACAAATATAAATGTAATGATACTCAATACCAATTCAATAATTTATGTATTTTTACATGGTACAACTCAATAAATGCAAGTTACAACTCTATTGTTATATATTTTGTTATGTACATGCTAATTTAATGATTTCTTTAATCATTCATTTAGTAAGGATTAAAATAAATAAATAACAATCCTAAAAATAGTTACTATATACAGTGGGTTTCAGTTATTCCACTTTTTGATGATATTCAATTATTTTTAGTAACATGTCTGAATGAAGCGCAGTTTTGGGCATTGTATATACATAATACGTCATTCTTTGCTAAGATACACAAATATTAGGCATAAATTTATGTAGTTACTATTTTGTTTTGGTAAACATGTGTTTTGTTTTGTTTTTTGTTTTTTTGGTTTTTTTTTAATGAACGGGCAATTCAATGTAATATTTTAGACACACCTTAAAATCAAGCAATTTTATTCTAAATATTGTTGAGTTTCTATTTTTTTTCTTCAGGTTAACAATATATTTTTGGAGACCTAACACCATTATTTCATGAAAAAAACGTAATAAATTTTAACATGAAGAATAAAAGCAGATTAAAATAAATAAATAAATAAATAAGATCCCCTCATTCCTCTTCTTTTTTACTGTGTTTCAATCTTTTAAATCATTTTCTCTTCCAGAGGAATATAAATTGCCAAGCAATGTAAATACTTGTAACTACATCTATTTTCAGTGAAAAAAAGATATATACACACACACACACACACACACATATATATATATATATATATATATAGTATTTTTTTGAAAAACATTATTTTAGAACAACCTTGATAAATGTGATCAACATACAAAAAACTCCAAAAAATGTTATAATTAAAGGAATGCATAAGTAAATTAGCAAAGAAACCAAACAATGTTATATTATTCTCAAATAACTTTATCAAGATTTTTTTTTGATATTTATTTAATAAATAATTAAAATAAAATAAAACCATGAAATATTCATTTAACACTTGGATATACTTTCAAGTTGGGGGAGTGTAAAACACACATTTTTTTCTTACATGATACCCATGAACTTGAGGAACATGAACGAACAGAAACCATCATCATCTACGAGTGCAGCCACATTCATCGAATCCCGGAAACAACACCACACTGCACCAGTGAGATATTTGGACAGATATTTAGAATGACGTCATCCCCTCATTAGCAGATTAGTTAGGGCCAGGTCCACAGTCCGACGATCCACCTAATCGGACCAAAAACGAACGAACGAACGAACGAACGTACAAACCAACGAACTTCACATATTCGCCCTTTTTGGCACTTCCGTCGAAAGATGAAACCAGAAGGTCGCCGTGGATGCGCACGAAATTCGTCCAAACTTCGTCCGAACTTCAATGCGGTCGTCGGGGGGGGGGGGTGGGAGAGTGTAGGAAAACTGCGGCGTCAGCCTCGGAGAGGACTCCCAATGGCCCCGCGCTTCAAACTTGGCTTTGGCTTTGGCTTGTCCGTCAGGCCGGCACCTGGCTCCATACCCATTGTGGTTTCGTGGTTTACGCCTTCGATTGTGGGAGGGGATCCATGAATTCAACACCGCACTGTGTCGCAGCGCTGTGAAGCGATTCGATATCACCCGAATTTCGACTTAGATTGACTTTGCAGCCAGACTTGGAGCGTTTTTTTCCCAGAGATTGGAGTGTGTGTGTGTATGGGAATCATAGGTTATTTTGAGACCGTTGGTGTTGAGGAATTTTTGCATTGATACTACGTGGTAAGCAGCAATCTTTGTCTGAATTTGCTCAAGCTTGGGAGTTTTAGTTGGGGTTGATAGCGGAGATCTGTGTGTGTGCGGATTTTTTTTTTTTTTTTTTTTTTTTTTTGGTGGGTGTGATGGTGTTTGATTAAGGCTGTGGTGTGGTCAATTTTTCGTTATTTTGGGAGTGTTTAGGTTGGTTTGTTGGCAGATGTGATCTGGATTGTGTTGCGGAGAGGCAGGGCGGTAGGAGTGGTGAGTTTTGAGCGGTTTCAATTAGATGATGATTTGGTGCTGGAGGATCAAATGTAAGTCATCGAGATGTATTGATGCCCTTCTCGCGAAATTGATAGAGTGGAGTGAATGGTATTGAATTTTGTACCCAGCACGTGGAGGAGGTCTATTGTATTAGTAGGAGCTGGTCTGAAAGAGAGAGCAAAGAAGAGGTTATCGGAGTCGTAGAAATAATCGAAATACAATAAGATAAAAGAAGATGCGGAAACGAGAGCGAGAGAATCCGTGTTTTGTATGTGGGCATTACCACAAGTTCGAAGACGGAGAGGTGTGTGGGATCTGTGGCCATCGCCTGCAAGAGGCGACAGAGAAAGGTCCCCAGCAAAGTGCATTTTCCACTGAAATTCTACCACAGTTCTTGTATCTGGGTAGCTATGACAATGCATCGCGTGCGGAGCTTCTGAAAACTCAAAACATCACTCGGATTCTGAATGTACGTGCCCTGACCATTTCATTTAATCGACCGGTAATTTCCTGTAGATGATATCCTCCGAATCAAATAATGGAAGAGTATAATGCCATATAAAAAACAAGGCTCCCCGGTTATTTTATCGTTTTTTAGGATAAATTCTATCAATTTAGACTTTATCTGGAGAATTATGATTTGCGTATTCGATCAATCACTTCCAAGTCGCACTTCGCCTAAATTGGTGCACTTTACAATGACCCCGCTATGCTACATAGGAGTTTATGGTAGTCTGTTTTACGTGTTAGCCATGCTTGGAGAAATATATACATATCTTCCCTCCTCCACTTACTTTCTAGACTCCAACCTAAAGTCCGACCATGGGTTTAAATGTTCAACTCTGGACTCTTCCAAGTGTCCGAGATTGAGTCGGTACAAGAGGATAGCTTCATCCTTCGAGATCTTGTCTTATAACATACACTTATTAAGTAATTGGGATACACAAAATCAAATCAAAGTGTGTAATTAAATCCTCTGTTTTTTTTTTTTTTTTTTTTTTTTTTTTGCCCAGACTGTTCCAACATGCCAGAACCTTTACAAGAACTCTTTTACGTATCATTCGCTCAAGGAAGACAAGACTCTACCATTTGTGGAATGTCTAGAGTTTATTGGTAAGTCTCAGGACACTATTTTTGACAACTAGAGTTGCAGAAACCTGGATTGTGTTTGAGGACAAGCTCTGGTGCTCTTGTGTTCAACAAAATGTGAATCAGCACGATATTTTCTTACTATATCTTCTTCCTTTTAATAGAACAAGCTAGGGTGGACAAAGCTCGCGTGTTGGTGCATTGCATGTCGGGGAAAAACAGGTACGAATTCTAACAAGCGCTATTTGTCTTTTTGAGTTATATAGGTATAGATTCAGCTTTCCGTAGGCAGCAAACTTGGGGAAGGAGTGGCAGTGGACAGAACTATTGTGGGTATAATGGCGCATATCCAGCTTTTTAACTATCCAGTTTATTGTAAAACAATGGGTACATCTATGCGCATCCTGAAGCATAATTATAATACAGAGATATTACTCTTTGGTTGCTTCATTCGAAAAACAGGTGGTTCAGTTGTCATAACATTATTAGGAACTTCCTTAAAGCACCCTTCAGACAAGGCTTATTCCAATCTTGGGTGTATGAGTTGTATTTGGGATACTTGTCTGCCTCGAGAAACTGTTCTGACTGCAGACAAACCCTCCACAGATCGCCTGCTGTAGTTATCGCTTATCTGATGAAACACAAGCAGTGGAGACTACCACAATCATATCAGTGGGTAAAAGATCGAAGACCGTCTATAAATCTTACCGAAGGTACGTATTTGGAATCCAGCTCAATGGGACTCTCTCTTCTTGTCTTAGATTTCTGGTCAAATATACTTGTTCTACGGTCTTATTCTACAGAAAACGTGTTCGACAAAGTGTCGCAGTATGACTACCACTCCTTCGCACGGTTTCAACCGAGGTTCAAGAACTATGGGATGGTTATGATGACTTGGGATTCCACAATGTTCACTCTTACTATGGTATCGTGCTGCGCTTGAATCTGCTCTTTGCGTCCGGAGTATTAAGTTGCTCAGTGATCTATACTGAAATTCTTCGTGAGCTTCTAGGAATAATATATTAAAATGGTTCGGCCTGTTACGTATTGAAGCCAGAGTGTTCCGTCCCGAGGTGTCTATTGTGGACACTATTGTTGGTAATGTCATGTTCAAGCGCCGTTACTGATCAATGTACTAATGTGACGTGTAGCGGTTGCGCAACAACTGCAACAATTCGAGATTGAAGTGTTTGGGAACAATGTGACCAGCACACCGATATACAATACTCCTGCTGGCGTTACGTTTGGGTTTGGTTACTCAGCCCCTGTACTTGAGGCAATAGTTCCAACATTTACACCGCACCCAGTGGCCAACACCCTTGCTCGAGCCCCAGTGTTTGGTTCCGTTGGCGTGACCGTCCTCCCCAAGTCTAATTTTGTGTTTGGAGCCATCAGACATGAACCAAAAGCAGCCATGGATCAGAGCATGGACAGCTCTTGATGCTTCTCTCTCCTATTTTTTCGCGCGCGCGCATTTCTGAACAGTCACATTTCGTATAGATTGTATGATTTGAAATGACATTCATTCGTTTCCGTGTATCTCAAAGATATCGTCTATTTCTGAAGGGAATTGGTAGCTACCTGCTTAGTGAAGGGGCACGAGATTATGCCTGAGCTTTTGTCTTCTTTCCAAGGCACGTTCGGTGGCTTTTTCGGTGCCGAGGACTCGTGTAAGACCTTCACTTGACATGATATGTTACCATGTCTTCTTACAAGTTGAGGAAATCCTTTGGTTATGTGTTGTGGTGTCATGTACGTGTTATCCCACCGATTTTCATTCACTCGGCATGTCGTGTAATCCTTGTGCCAATTTCAGTCCAACTAAGAGTACGCCTCTTTGTTGCCTAGTGACTTGCTGTGTATTGTCAATAACCTGAGCATGCTGGCAATGAACTTGAGTACATCACAACATTCGAGAGGAAAAAAAGCTTATTCTCTGATTTTTCACAACACTCTCGAGACACCTCTCATTACATCACACCCTCTACAGCTGGCCCCTCACTTTTCATCACCTCACACGGCACTCAAAAAAATCCTCTTCGCTGGAGCGTCTTCGGAGATGACCTCTAAACTCATTCCATCTCCGGCAGTTGTGACAGGCCTCAATAATGTGGACACCCCCCATGACTGCTGCCCTCACCCAATTCGGAATCTTGGCCTGAAAGCTGGACTGGAGTAGGCTGTTCATGGTAATGGAATGCGCTGGACCCTTTCTAGTCAATCTCAAGCCCAGCATCTCCTCTTCTGCTTCACTGTGTCCGGCGGTTTGCTCCTCAACAAACCTAACCTCCCAGACTTTCAAACCTGCCCGATCATTATTAGGCAAGCCATTTCAGAAGCTTGAGAAGTTAAGCAGCAGCAGCAGCAGCAACTCTGAATGAATGTGAATAGTTAAGGCTTCCGCTGCTGCATTTTCCACTGCTAATGTGGAATGTGGACATGAATGCCTCATGGAGGCTATTGATTTTTCCATCACAGAAATTAATAAAAATTGTAGGGGTTGCAGTCCACCAAAACAGTCGACTTGAATGAGTGTACCACTGACAATGTACATCATTCAGAGTCTGTTCATTTCACTCAACCCAAACAGAGAATGAATGAATCGATGGAGCCTCGAGGGGGTAGGGAAGAAGAACGAGACATATTCCTTTAGTGGAGTGGGCTACACACTTTAATTAGGGTGGCTTGTTAACTGGTGGTGCTGTGCTGTGCTGAGGAAGGATTAGAATTAGGGTTTTGCCGATAATACTTGCTTTTCTGACCCACTCAGGATCCTCCTCTTTCTGACTTCGCATTATGTGATTTACTATTCTGGCTGCCCCTCTATTATGGATCTTTTTGCGGGGGCCGGGCAGAGAGGAGGAAATATTCATTTCTGTGACGCCACACATCATTCCCCACCAACTCAAAGCCTCCCACTAAGTTTGTTATCCTACTCCATGCACAGCGGAATCCACGAGGTAAAGCTGGGCTGTTTCGAAACAAGCCATATTTTAGCCCTTTTTTTACCTTTCTTTCTTTCTTTTCCTCTTTTAGGTGGCCATTTCAGAGCCATTGCGGAGCCATCTTTCGAACTTTGTTGCCTCTTCTGTTCTCTGAAACTTCAAATCAGTATGGTGGTATATATCTCCAAGGTAATATCCGAACTTCTTTTTTCTTTTCGTGCGTGTCACATGGGCAGTCGCAAATCACTGCCAGTCTTGGTGGTCACCACAGACCCTCAATGAAAGAGGCAATCAATGGATGATCAATAGATGAATATGTTGCTGTTTGTTCGTTTGTTTGTTTGTTTTTTTTTTTTTTTTGGTATCACATGGTAGGGGGAAGAAGAAGGGCCTGGATTGCATGGAGGGGGTGAGGGTGCTACTGCCCCCCCCCCCCCCATGAATTGATGTGTTCTGCACCAACTTGCACTGGCGTCAGTGCTTTGGCTCCAAGTGAGATGGTTCTCCGCCCCCTCTCAAACTTAGTATTATATCATGCCTTTGGGGGAGGAAGGAATCAAGCCAGAGCATCTCTCACTCACTGAGTAGGGTTTTCGTCCATAGATGAATGACTTAAGCGTCAGATGGTGCTTGATTGAGATTCTTGAGACAGGATAGTAGATCTTGAAGATGTGTATATATAGAGAGAGAGAGGAGATAAAAATCTACTTTGTACTCTTGTGCAACAGGAACGTGGAGTCAAGAAGCCCTTCCCTCCCTTTTACTATTTTCTTGATGCACAAGCAGAGCACTTCTGCCACCTAAAGATAAAAAAGAAAAGATGCTGTGCTTGCTGATTTCAGGGTAAAAAATGCAACCAACTAGGGCAAAAAGAAGTTAGGTGGGTAATAAAGTAGTAGTTGTAATGTATGCAAACAAGGTGGAGTTTTGGGATGTGGGTGAGGGATGAATGGAGAGTAGTGAGTGAGTAAGGAAGGAAGGAAGGAAGGGGGAGAAAGGGGGAGAAGGATGAGCTTCAAAGTGATGGGGTCTGTTTGTTCAGTTGCCCATGCTTGGTAGAAGAAAAAGGGGCCGGGGCAGAAGGAGGACAAAGAGGAAATGAAGGGTGGTGAAGTTCAAAAAGGACCAATGATAATGAAAAGGAGGTAGTGAGCTCTCCTCCTTGCTCGATTGAATGAATATATGCTAGATAGATGATAGAAGGTTCTGGTGATAAGTGAGATCATATCACAGTGCTTGCTTGGTTGAAGAAAGGGCCTACCCCCCCTCTGCCCCTCCCCTCCCCTGCCTGCCTGCCTGCCTGCCATGAGTCTCACTTCTCGAGTTGGCCAACCACATACACCACCACCAAAGTCATGGCACCACATGCAGCCCCCATGACCAAGCGACCCTTGTTCCACAAAAGAGGCCCCCTCATTGGAGACAATACGGGGATGCGAAATAGCGCGGTCAACAACACCACCTTGATCCCACCACCACCACCCATCGCGCAGTTCACCGCGCGGGATGCAGAATGGTTCCGATTCGGCTGCCCTTCCTCCTTCTCCCCTTGCGCGGGTCGTCGTCTGACGCCCCCTACTTCTGACAGGCAAGCACTGCGAGGGCGTTCTTTAATGACACCGGTTCTTGACAACGTTCACGATCGCGTCGCGAGGGCGGGAGTGGCGCGTTCGCAATCGTTCCCACTCGTTCCTGGCCCCCTTCCTATCCTTATCCGTTGCGAAAGGGCGGGGAACGCGGTGGGGAGCGCACGGGCCACCCCCGGGGGGCGGGTGCGGGAAGTAGGCTGTTCAAGGTAACCGGTCGGAAACGGCAACAGCGTTGGCAAACGGGAAGCAGGCGAACGACAGGGCTCTCACTCTCTCTCGAAAACGAGGAAAGGAAAGACGGGCTGGGCTGGGCATCGCGGTGGGAAAGGGGAAGTGGTCAGGGAGCCAGTGGGGAAGAGGCAATGGCAGGGTAGCGTTCCGTCCGGTGCTGCGGAGAGGGCCCCGATTTGGCCATTTCGATTTTTTCTGTTTTTTAATTTTTTGTCGTATTTTATTTCCGAATTTTTTTTTTTTTTTTTTTTTTTTCGTCTTTGGTTTTGGTTTTTCTTCTCGATGTTAGAGATGGTAGCTGGTGAAGTTCTGTGATGAAGTTGTTGATGTTGCCAAACCTGGTAGGAAAAAAGCCGCACCACGGAACACTCGCAGCCGCAGAGTCTCTCGCAAGCATCCCCGGTTCTGGTCCCAAGGGACGACTGGAGAGGGCTTCCGAGACTGGCTTCATGCACTCGCTCGCGCAGACATGCTTACACAGAGTTTCCGATAGAGGCACAGAGTGACCGATATTGAAGAGATATACTCGAGGTTGTGTGTCGTGGTTTGGTGTGGTTTTTTTATGTCGTGTATGCCGTGCGACTGATGTTGTGTGGTGTGTGGTGGATGTGGATATGAGGGCCAGCGCATTGGAAACTACTAGAGGTGGAGAGGTCTGAGAGAGATATATCCTGCGAGGCAGAGTGGGGAGGGTTTGGTGGAAGTGGAGAAGGAGACGAAGATAAGAGAGAGCGGGTACAAAGGGGAAGGGAGGGAGGAGGGCAGAGGTGTTGAAGGCGGTTTGAAGGAGTGAGGAAAGATATGATCGGGAGAAGAGAGAGAATACAGAGGCTGGTGGTGTGCATGGGTGAAGGATGCCAGAGCTGCGTAGTGGAGCGCGCCAACCCCGCTCTCCACCCTTGGTGCCGGCAGTAGCTCCGCCCGCCGCATGCCCAGAGTCGTTGCCGGAAAGGCGAACGACTCCTCGTAGACGTGTAGGAGTTGCTGGTGGAGGTACTGGTGGTGTTCCGGTTGGTGTAGGAGGCACTGCGGCAGAGGAGGCTGCGGCGCAGTTAGGACATCGAGTTAGGACGAGGGCTGCTGTTGCGAAGGAGGCAGCGGTTGTGACGACTAGGGTTGCCGGCCGCGGAAAAGGTGCTGGTGCGGGCACTGGACGGGTTGCGAAGCAGCCAAGGAATACTAAACCTGCAGCCCTACCGAAGGGTGCCACTCCGCCCAAAGGGAAAGTCGCTGGGCGGGGCAAGCAAGTGCCTTCTAGATCTCAGTCTCCAGAACAGGAACCGTTGCAAGATCCCTGCACTTCGGAGGACAACGTTGAGGCGGATTTAGATCTAGGGGAAGAGAAGCAAGAAGAGGCAGCCGAGGAAATTAGGGAGATGGAGGAGGAAAGCGCTGGACGCAGTGCCGAGAAGGTTGCCGGAGCGGGAGATGACGATGGCAGTGCTGCACCTCTTCCAGAGAGGGTAATTGCCGTTAAACACTTTCTCTTGTCGATCTGTCTGAATGTGGTTTTGTTCGTGGAGCTTTTGTTTTGGGGTAATGCATGGGGATGGACATTTTCTTCACATTATCGTGCGTCAGATTTGAAGATGTGTTACGTGGATAGATACGAATGCATATTTTTCGAGGAGTTTTGCATGTCTGTAGCATGCCCGTACTGTATCAGTGTTCTTTCAAGCGGAGAACATCGTGTTCGGTATGAGAAAAAATTGTACAAGATATAATGTTGCACTCCCTCTCTGTATCTTCTTTATTTTTTTATTTTTCATTTTATATTTTATCCTATATCATTGAGCCTAACTTGTGCTCAATGCGCAGGTTCAAGTTGGCGGCTCACCAGTGTACAAGATAGAGAGGAAACTCGGAAAAGGAGGCTTTGGACAAGTCTATGTTGGTCGTCGGCTAAGCGGTGGGACAGAGCGTACTGGTCCACAGGCTGTTGAGGTATTCAATTTCTTACAATTTGTTCTGCTCTACTTCTTTCGCAGCAGCATGTTTGGAAGATACTCTGCATATTGCATCGAGGTCTTGTGATTTTTAATGTAATAAGTTTTGTATTCATATTGAACTCGTTTGTGCAGGTTGCGTTGAAGTTCGAGCATCGGAGTAGTAAGGGCTGCAATTATGGTCCTCCTTATGAGTGGCAGGTTTACACGTGCGTCTCAAGCTTGTACCATTGTGATTTCACTCTTGAGATGTGATTGCTAGTGTCGCATTTACCTCTCTGTATTTCTTATTTTCATCATCAAATGTGATTAGGGCTTGTCTCCTAACCTTGATGGCTGGCGCGGGTCTTTCTGCAGTACTCTTGGTGGCAGTCATGGTGTTCCTCGCGTACATTACAAAGGTCGACAAGGCGACTACTACGTCATGGTGAGTCACCTATTGAATTGTTGTAGTCCAAGCAGACCTTCAGTTTTCATGTGGTCGTCTTGTTTTCAAACTTTTCTCATGATTTTTTTAATTCGATTTCGACTTCGTTCATATGCTGCAGGTCATGGATATGCTTGGGCCAAGTCTCTGGGATGTCTGGAACTCTTCAGGTCAAGCGTAAGTATTTACTACCCTGATGTTCTCTTCGTCTATTATTACTGCTGGCGAGGATCGTTTATCACCAATTGCAGAGAAAAATTGATCCCGTAATTTTTTTTTTGCAGGATGTCAACTGAAATGGTGGCCTGTATAGCCGTGGAGTCTATCTCAATCCTTGAGAAAATGCACTGTAGAGGGTATTGATTTTATTCCCTGTTTTACTTGAGATTCAAAAAGCCATGTGAATATAGTGACAGTTCTGCATCTATTGTTGGTTTGTGAACTTTTGGATCACAGGTTCTTGTTCTCATAGCTCATTCTGATTGAGCAGGTATGTACATGGAGACGTGAAGCCCGAGAACTTCCTCCTGGGACAACCTAATACACCTGACGAGAAGAAGCTTTTTCTTGTAGATCTCGGGCTTGGTGAGTTTTCAGTATCGTTGTGCTGCAATTTTTTCTTTGTTCACACATTAGTAACCTCCTCTGTTCCAATTTGGCGTTATATCAGTTTTTACATCTGTTAACTGTTAGATGAAGTGCATTTGGACTAAGAATTAGATGAGTTTATTACCACTACGTTCATACACAAGTCAATTTCACACTAAGATTAACGTCTTTCTCCCATATGTGAAGCTACTCGATGGAGGGATGGTACAACCGGTCAGCATGTAGAATATGACCAAAGGCCTGATGTGTTCCGGTGAGGTTCTTCCCCCTGTCCTGATCTGTAGTTGCCATTCCTGTTTTGGCTGTTTTGGCGGTTGGGAGTGACTGTTTTGCCCCTGAGCTATATTTTGATTCTGTGTAATTTCCGTACATGCAGTGGAACTGTTCGCTATGCAAGTGTGCATGCACATTTGGGAAGGACTGGGAGTAGGAGGGACGACTTGGAATCACTGGCTTACACTTTGGTATTCCTTCTGCGGGGTCGTCTTCCTTGGCAAGGTTATCAGGTACTGATTAACTTTGTGGCTAGTAGCTAACGAGGAAGTGATCAATGTGAAATTTTTCTTTTCTTCCCACATCCCACATCCCACTTTTTTTGTATTTTGTTTGTTTTGTTTTGTTTTGTTTTTTCTTTTTCCTCTCACTATTTTTCATTTGGACGTGCTATATATTTGGTTTTGTAGGGCGACAACAAAGGTTTTCTGGTGTGTAAGAAGAAAATGGCAACTTCTCCCGAAATGCTGTGCTGTTTCTGCCCGGTTCCGTTTAAACAGTTTTTGGAGATGGTCGTAAACATGAAGTTCGATGAAGAGCCAAATTACGGCAAGCTTGTTCTACTCTTCGATTCTATCTTAGGTCCTAATCCTGCTGTGCGACCCATAAACACAGACGGTGCTCAAAAGGTGCATTCTATGATCTTCTTTTACTTAGTTTTTCCTGTTCCTACACAGAGGATTCTTTTTTTCAACCTACTCTTTATTTGATCATCATATTAATAAAGTCTATCGTTTCCAGTGTTCCATACAGGTTGGTCAGAAGAGAGGGCGAATTAGTGTTGAAGAAGATGAGGATGACCAACCTAAGAAAAAGATCCGGTTAGGAATGCCTGCAACTCAATGGATTACCGTTTACAACGCTCGGCGACCAATGAAGCAGAGGTATGGCGGTGTGAGCTTTCGTCATTGATGTGGTGTGATGTTGCTCAGTTAGGCATCAGCCCGGTCATGTCTGTATCGTCGATTTTGACTCTGTCTTCCTGGATGTCGATTAGCGATTTAGATTTCTACGACATGCATTTACTTTCAGCAAGCAGCCTAGATTTGGACAGACCCATTTACTGAACTTTCATTCCTATTTTGTTTCGACGTGCAGGTATCACTACAATGTAGCTGATTCTCGGCTTACGCAGCATGTGGAAAAGGGTAATGAAGACGGTCTGTATATAAGCAGTGTGGCTTCTTGTACAAATCTGTGGGCTCTTATTATGGATGCGGGGACAGGATTTACTGCTCAAGTTTATGAGCTGTCACATGTATTCCTCCACAAGGTGGGTGTGTGGTGTCTCGCTCAAGTTTTGGGTAGTATATGCAGCTTGTCGTTCAATGATAGAACAGCTATCCCTGTTATGCGCCATGCCCTCACATTGAGTCATATTTTTACAGGAGTGGATCATGGAACAGTGGGAAAAGAATTTCTATATCAGTGCCATCGCTGGTGCAAATAACGGAAGCTCCTTGGTCGTCATGTCTAAAGGTATTTCACCCGATGTTACATTTAGATTAACACTATCATTTCATGCATATGTACTTCAATTTTTTATTTTTATCATGCTGCTTAATTTTTGTAGATTTATTCCCGTCATAGTCCTTTTTAATTTTAGTTATTTTTTAATTTTTAGTTTTGAGTTATTCGTATGAATCTTCGTTGTAGCTCATCTCCCGATTTTGTGTTAACAGGAACATCATATACACAGCAGTCATACAAAGTGAGTGACTCTTTTCCATTTAAGTGGATCAATAAGAAATGGCGAGAAGGCTTCTACGTTACATCTATGGCCACAGCGGGAAGCCGATGGGGTGTAGTTATGTCGCGAAACGCAGGTTTCTCTGATCAGGTAATTAGCGCTCTAAGCCTACTTGATTTACGAAAACCGCATACTATTTTTGCTTCTTCGACTCGGAGCAGATATGAAGTAAATGAAAATATTTGCTGACCAATTTAGAATTCCTGTCATCGGACATCACCTGATTACATTCCTCTCTCTTACCGAATGTATTTGCCCTCTGCAGGTCGTTGAGCTTGATTTCTTGTATCCCAGTGAAGGTATTCATAGACGATGGGACAGTGGATACCGCATAACCTCTACTGCTGCGACTTGGGATCAGGCAGCCTTTGTTTTGAGTGTACCTCGGAGGAAGCCAGCTGATGAAACTCAGGAGACGTTGCGGACATCTGCTTTTCCAAGCACACATGTGAAGGTTTGTCTTTGTTTTTCTTGAAAGAGAAAGAGGGCTTGTATTCGTCATGGGAGTCAAATTATTATGAAGTAACTAGCTTCTGTCGTTTTTAGTGGACTGATTTCCTCGTGCTCGACTTCTGCAGGAAAAGTGGTCTAAGAATCTTTACATTGCAGCAGTTAGTTACGGGCGGACTGTTTCATAACCTCTTTCGCCGAAGCCAAGTTGCTTTAATGGCTTGTCGCCAGGGGCTTTGCGAGAAAGCGTAATTGACTTCTAGAATTCTCTGGCTCTCGTGCCTAATTGGCTCGTCTTGTCGCATTTGTTTGAGTGGAAAGTATTACGAACCAAGAGCTGAGCCTTCGCCCCTTGTGAGTTGGGGAATGCATATAGGGAGGAACATAGGTGCTCTAAGTTATCCAGATTGTTTGTTGGAAGGCCTATACTGTCTTGCTGGCGATGAGGTAGGGATAGTGTGATGGCACTCCTTTGGGTAAGGTCGATGCTCCAGGAAATGTAGTGCTTGCCTGAAGGAGGATTCGTTGTTACTAAGACGAAGGAAGTTCCACTCAGGTTTGATGTGATTATTTTACATTTTCCTGGCTGCGTTGAGCTGACCTAATGCGCCTACTCCGTTGGCCATCAAACTTTTGCAGGGATGTAGTAATGGGAAGATAAGATTCTGTATTTTGCGCTCAGTTTTTTGTTGGGTATAATATAGGCGAAACTGTTCAATATCCCTGGGGAAACCTTCCGGGGACAAGTCCCTGGACCAAGTCTATGTTCAGAACTCCCTCGAGCGTTTATCATTTTACAAGCCACGTTGCCGATATGACTTTTTCCAGAGTCAATATGTGTTGCCTGAAACGCCTCTGTGCACGCTTAGGTTTTTAGTTTGGCTAAATCTTCACGCTAAACCTTGGTTACAGGTCCATTAGACTTATTAGTTTTATAACTGCGCGAATGGGCAATCATGCATTGCTGTGCCCATAAATATGACGTAGTCTGATTTCAGTCCAATAATAGGTTATTTAACTACACATTTTTGTTCAAAAATATCTATGCCTAAACTTTTGGCTTTCTTGCGACGTTTTTCATTTCTGTTATTTTATTTTCATTGTGGAACTACCCTTTTTCTATAGTAAACAGTTCACTGTCAATGCTTTTGTTGTACTTTTCTTGGATTTTCCTGGAGCAAGACTGATAATGGGCATCAATTGTGGATGGATGATTCTAAATTTTTCTACTTTTGAGTCCTGCTCCCCATCTGGTCTATCTTTTGTGCGTGTAGTGATGCGGAATGTGTTGTCAACACGCATCTTACAAGAGATGTGTCCTTTATTGAGAAGAAATTGAGATTTTACCTCGTTTAGTGAAAGCTTCGGTGGATTGAGATCGTTGGGATCTGTAGATTAGGTAGGGTCGAAGGACAGTACTCATGTTTACTGTTCACAAACGTTGTATTGACACTTTGACGAGTATTGAGGAAGGGTTCGCAAAATCCATGCCGATGATTTTGGTCGCGAATGGAATGGAACTGCAACAATGTTTTTTCTTAGTTTTGTGGGCACACTTCAGTACAGTGACGAGATGTCAATGTCTTTATGAACATTTTATACTTGTGGAAAAGCTGTAAGATATATTAGAGTGGTTGTAAAAAGACTTGTATTGTGCGTAGCAAAACGTCGGCCTTACGGTTATCCTCTTTAAACGATTCTAGTCTTATCGTTGAGAGACCAGGTGTGTGCACAATAGAGTTTTAAACACTACTAAATAGCATTACTGGAACTGAAATAAACTCAAACTGTATCAATGGGAAGAATATGCACACATTCGTTTCCTCACAGTATATTGCAAAGAATTTTGAAAAACTTCTTCTGGGAAAATAATAAAAATACATATGATTTTATCTTGTAGTTATAATGCAGTACGTGTTATATGAATTATGTTATAAAACAAATCCAAATTAAATACTGAGTATTTTCTAGCAAAAATATATTGAGCTTGGAAAGACAAACTTGAATAAGTTGTAACAAATTGCTGTGCCTTTGGATTTTTTGATTGGTTAGAACACATTCAAAGTATCGATATAAGTAGATGCAGAGTTATTGGCATCTCTAGAAAGGCCTTGAAATGCTTCAAGATTCTTTGATACTTCACAAAAAATGTTTAATGGGTTTAAATGAATTTGATGCTTTGAACAGCGTTTTAAATTCTAAAAAATATTCTTAGATAGCACTGAAATGTTGAATTTCGTGGAAGTAAACTTATGTTGTTCAGGAAGGGTGGATAAAGTCTATGGCATAATGACTGGATCTTTTAATGAAGGAAAACAAAGCCAAAGATGAGAAAATGAAGGTGATTAACAAATTATATGAAAAACAATTCCTTTTTTGGCTGTTAAAAGCAGGGATGTCAAGATGTATGAAATTTCGAAAGATTGAAGAGGACATGAAGTAGAATCCTCAAAATGCTACAAATCTTCAGAAATGTTAAAAAGAAACAAAAAGGTAAAATAAGTCAAGGAGATAGCATATACCATTTTGGTGGATCACACAACTTGCAGACATCACACATTACAAAGGATTTTGTGGACAAGTATTGAAGATACCCTACAACAGTCAAAAAACCAAAATCATATCCAATGTTGCTAATTTTTATAAAATGCTATTCTTACCATATATCATAACTTCCAGCTACTTTTTCTTCCTTTAGAATTCAATCTTCAAATTCAAAAAACTTACACGTGGGACTAAAGTTAATGAGGACACCTTTGATCTGCTAAATTTGTCGCAGTTGGATGTGGGCTTCTGGCAGAGCAGTCACGGGATCGAATCCTGGCACCGTCACTCACTCCGCAAGTTCTTACAGATGGACATCTCACAATTTTGCGGTGAGTTTAGGGTCTTGCGGTGATGTGTTCTCAAATCCAGCGAATGTCTTCAAGATCCTTGGTTTCAAGATTTTTCCTAAATTTGTTACTTAGGTGGGTGCAAAGTGCAAGGTGGGTGCAAATTCTAAGGTCAAAATTTATGATTTAAATGTTTCAAATGAACACCATTGATACTTTTCTTAGGACTCTAGATTCTATTAAGAAAAAAGAGGTTGGAATCAACAATATTGCATGTGTTGAATATATTGGTTATAGAAGGATACTTGTTGTACCTTTTGTATAATATTATGTCCAAATTTTATTAGAGATTCTAATACTTTGTTAGTCTTTAAAATACATTTTGTTATAAAATCCTCCACCTTCTTAATCATTATTTATTTAGTGCATATTGAATTGAAAATCTCATTCATATCTAATTCTTTGAAATGACACCATTAGAATCTTTGCTGGATTTAGTGATATTGTTATTATTGTAAATCTACAATTTCATATGGTGACTCTTAAGTAACTGAAATTGTTAGATTAATAATAAAAAATTTACAATAAATAAATAAAAATAAAATAGCAATTTCATTGATTGCAAATTGACTGATGTCTTATTTAAACTATAAATTTACTAGTTTATAAGCATAGAAAAGTTGGAAACTTTGTTAGCAGTTTTATTATTTTTTGGCAAATCTTTGAAGTAGGAGCAAAACAAAATTTTAAAGATAAATAGTTTTAAATGCTATTACTAAAATGATAAATATTGTAGTATTAAAATAATTTTATAAATACTACAACCAACATTAAAAACTTTTACACACTACCAAACTTACTTTTGTTACATACATACAAGGTTAATGTCAAAATATTTCTTTATTTAAAAATCTCATTGAATATATAGTGTGATTCTTTAAATCTAATACTTTATTTTTTTAGATTTCGATGCAAAATAGTAATATAAAAAATAATGATATTGAAATTCTATGTATGTAGTTTAATGTGGTTTATTTCAAAATTGAAATTATAATATCATGCAAAGAGGATTCTTAACAGATTTTATGTAAACTAAAATCATATAAATATTACATCTATTCTCTAATATATATAAAAAATATCTATCTTTAATTACTTTGTAGCAACCATCATAGAATTCTAATTCAAGTCTATATAAAATTATTTCTTGTTTCCAATTTATTCTCAATATGTTTATAAAAGCTAATTAAATAATATGCTAAAGCAAATTTATATATATATATATATGTATTTTTAAATATAAGAAAATTAAAACATTTATTTCAAGATTTTTAAATATTAGTGACACATTTGGTGAAGATTGAGTTTAAATATTATATGTAATAAAAGCTTGAAATAATACTATGTTTTTTTTTTTTTTTTTTTTTTTTTTTTAAATCCATCAAATAATCATAATTTTTGTATTGACATCTATCACTTAAAGTCAAGGATTTTACAATTGAGATTTAAACCACCAACATTTTATCATGTAAAAAGACACTATGTTATCATGTATGTCTAATTATGTATGATTTTATAATCATCCAACTATTTATTTTAGTTTATGTTCTAGCTTTTTAAGTTTTTTTTTCCAACTTCAAGATATGAATCAGAAGACAAAAAGAATAATACCAAAAAAGAAAGAAAATCTTTTTTCCAACATTGCTTATTTATAATTTGCATTACTTAAATTATATATATATAAGAGGTTGCTAAAGCCACACCTTCTCTTGTCATCTCAATGCTGAATTCCTAGTTCCTTGTCTTCATTCCATGTTTCCCATCCCAAATTTCATCATCCCAATTCCATGTCCTCTATCCCAAATATCCTTGTCTACATTCCTTGTTCTCCTTAATATAATAAGAAGTTATTATTATTACTATTAGACCTTGGCTACCATAGATTAGCGAGGGGTTGCAAAATGAAGGAAGAGGAGGGAGAGAGTGTAAAACAAAACTTGTTCCAAGCTAGGAATGGAGGTGGGGAGGGGGGGTTGGGACAAGGGACATGGGAGAGAAACGGGGACATATGGGACTAGGAATGAGGATGGATGGAATCATGAGATGGCAAGGGAGGTGTGGCTTTAGCAACACCTGGCCTTAGCTTGGCTTGGCTCGTGCCACAAATCCATGGGGAGGGGAGGCAAGGGGGCTTCCTACGGAGCAAGGATCGCTGGGATCGCGCTGCCATGGCTCCCGTCATGTCGTCATCGCGCACGATGCGTGCCAGGAATCATGCCTATGTGCACACGGACAGCAAAGCAACGGAACGGGAACGGGACGAGGGCGACGAGGACTGTGTCGACGATGAGGAGTGCGCCGCTTGATTTCGTCGGCTGTGATGCATGAGAAGCCGCACGGTTGGGTCACAGGAGCCCCAAGAAGCTTCCGAGGTAGCTGAGGGTACGTGGAGCGCCTCCCGTGTCTCCTTCCGACTCTCGCTTCCAGGGCTCCCGTTGGCTATAAGACCCGTTTGCTTGACGCCCCAGTTTATCACAATCCGCCCTTGGCGCAATTTCGCGACAGGTTCAGCTTGAGAATTGCCGAAGCCTTGAGCATTTTCTGGGAGTGCCTATTTGCTATTTCGGAGTTGTACGTAGTGCTCGACGCGACGGGTGGGCAGGCGAGCACCATGGCTGTGGCCAAGGCTCAGGCTCTCATCAGCCAGAATGCAGTTGTTGTTTTCAGGTCAGTCGTTGTTTTATTCCCTTGGTTTTACAATTGTTGGTTCGGGATGTGGTGGTGTTGTGGGGTCCAATTCGTGTGGAGTTTTGAAGTTCCTTGTGGTGTTGTAAACATGATTTCTACGGTTAAATTGATTGCGATGTTTGTGAGTGCGGTTTTCGTGTTAATTGTGATTCATTGTAGCACTTTTGTTTTTGTCTTGGTTGATATCTGGTAATTGTTTTAAATCTAACTAGCTCTGAGAGCCATGTGGGGCTTGCGTGCTAGGCTTTTTGAAGTGTGCTGCTTTTTTTTGTTGTTCACTTTTAGTCTGCAAAATCACCGACTTCTAATCAATTGAGTAACCCTGCTTGATTTCTGGATTTATTTATAGCTGCGTTTGACGCTAATAATCTTGTGCATTTGTGGCAAATGCTTGCAGCAAGAGCTACTGCCCCTTCTGCTTGAGGGTGAAGTCTCTATTGAAAAGTATTGGCGCAGAAATGAAAGTTGTGGAACTCGACGAAGAAAGTGAGTTCTTGAGCTTTTTTACGCCCTAATTGTGCTTTCTGCAATACAACGTATTGCTTTTGGAAGGTGCATTCGGCCATATGTCTGTGTGTGCGTGTAGATGAATGCATGCATGCATGAACGATGTAAAGAAATATAATGAGGACTTCCAAATATGCTGCGTTTTTGCTCCGGTAGTTGGTTTATCAAGTACGGTGAGCATGTAGTGTTATTAGGGAGGAAGACTCGCAAACTTGAGAAGGATATCTTTTAGGTTGTAGAGGTTTTCTGTTCTTGACGAACATCGAGTGAGACTCCTCTTAGGACAAGTTCGCTACAGTCGCGGACAACGTGTGTACTGATGTGAGGTGTACTTGTTTAGGTGATGGAAGTGATATCCAAGCCGCTCTCGCCAAGCTGTCGGGACAACGCACTGTGCCTAACGTCTTCATTGGTGGCCAGCACATAGGAGGCCGTGATGGTAACAATTCTTGCAGCTTCTGAAAGCTTTGAAATACGGTTGCATTATAAATACAATTAAGAATTATTTCGAGAACATTGATAGAGAACTCAAGACCTGTTGCAAAGCCTACACACCAAGCGTTAACACTGAACTTGAAAAGCCGTAGTTTAATAATCAGTTCTAAATGTTTTACAATGTTTGACGTAGATCTACTTATGAAATCTTCGTCTATTGTTAGGATGTCCATCCTTTTACTTATTGGTATGGAACGTAGTTTAAGCTGCATGGTTTAGTTATATGCGACTAACCTAATCTATGAATGTGTGCCCCACAGATACGACCGCGATGCACAAAAAGGGGCAGTTGTTGCCACTGTTGAATGGTGCTGGAGCTTTGAAACCTGTAACTGCGTAGATATTTTGGTGGATGAGATGTGATTGTAACAATTTATAGTTTTTTTATTTATAGTCGAGACATATGCAATTATGCAAATTCTTCACTGGTTTTGCTCCAATGAGATAGCATTCTTAGACCACACATCTGAAATGACTAGTTTTCTATGTGGAGAGTTTCTGTTCCGATGTTGAATTTCATTTGCCTGCTGTGAAGTATACAGAGAAAAGAATGTCACTACAATTTGTATACGTGACGTTGGAGTGAAACATGAAAATTGGAAAGAACCTAAATTTACCCATGTGGTCAAGAAGAAACCAGTAGTAAGAACAGCTGCACATCATTTCTTCTACTAATACAGCTCACTCTTGCAAATTTCTTCTGGCAAGCATAACGATCATTTCCTTTTACGTAGATCAGAATCTTCTTTTCTTGTCTGTATAATAAAATCTGTACATTTTGTCACAAAAAAATACAATCAATACCTTCAACGTATCAACGATAATCTTGTGTGCAAATAGAAAAAGTGTCCCTTCCCTTTATACAAGACCATTGCCGAAATCCTCACACCTCTCTTACCAAAACAAAAAATATCATAGTATATTGTCTTGTCCTATACTGACAACCAACAAGGATACCAACTTCTTTAAAGCAAATTAAGTAAAGAACCTTTCGCAATAGTACAGGTAAATGAATTAAACAAGCATCTTTCACACCCTATGTATTTGATTCGTTCCCCTGTACTGGGAAGTGTGAGGTCCTACTCTCGATTTAACCAACCTTTTTTGAAACTCAAGTAAAACATTCACTTTTAGTGGCTATTTTCTGCTACACTCGCACATATTTTCCCCGTTCGATCCTGGAAACTTGTAAACTATCTATCACAGGAATTATGAAAACCGGTTCACCAACAAATTGAATGAACTCATGCCAAAGCCTAATTAACTGATCATTGCCATCATTGAATAAGAAAAGATGTCAGCTCGACATCTTCTTTTTCCGCCTTCATAACCCAGAAGGGGTACTAGATATAAATTTCTTACAACTAATACAACAAGCTATTCTGTTTTCCAGAACTTATGTTCTCCACGAGTCATGAGTTAGCCTTCGAGAAAATTCTCGGCTTGACATTCAACGGTGACAAGCCGATCTCGAGCACTATGCACTCCACGGACGGTAGCTGCACACATTACCGGTCTAACAACAGGTTAAGAACAGCAGAGGGGTATCTCAATTTATCAGCTTCAACAGTCCAGTATTAAAGATAATGGTACACATATCCAGAACTGGTACAGCTGGTTCTCAAACAAATTCTTAACAAAAAAGAAAAAAAAAAGGGAGAAAGAAAGAAAAGAAAAGAAAACGAACAAAAGAGGTGCGTGTTTCTAGAACTGAATGCATGCAATCACTTGAGAAGAAAAAGTAAACGACTGTCACCTTCGAGTGATCTAATACTCCATTACCCCTCCAGCCTTCAACCTTTCCATGCGAGCTTGCAGCCCAGAGAGGGCTTTGTCCTCACCCATTTCCCCACTCGAACTAGTCCGAGCCAGTGGAATCGAACCATTCAAGGAATAATTTGTCGAGTGAGTTACTGTTGCTCCAGCAGCTCCAGCCTGGATGCTCTTCATCCTCTCCCTTATTGCATCTAGAGTGCCTCCCGTAGCTAGATTATTGGGTTTCCAATCACCAGAACCTGCACAATAAAAAAGGCGCTCTGAATTTCGCGAGAAATTTTAAGCAATCCAGCTGTGCTCAGAATCACATGCAAGAAGTAGCCAGTTTATGTAAAGCCACACTGAGCAAATCACAGCCTCGATACTCCGTGTAGCGACTTTTGTCATGATTTGCGCAGGACCACAAGCAATCACGTACAGTTGAAGAATACGAGGTGATCCCTCACCTTGTGCAGAAGTCATAACATTATGTCCAGCAGAAGATTTCAAAGGCAATGCTTCAGTATACTCAGTTGGTTTTGCATCTGCATATGCGATGTTACTATTATTATCCTCATGGTAGCTACCACTATCCATTCCAACTCCCTGGCCTCTTCCCCGTTGTTGGAACGACGACGTCAACGACTTCGTGTGTTGCGCTGTTGAAGATACTGGAGGAGGTGTGGCGATCGGTATACTGCCAAAAGTCCTCCCAGCAGCTGCATTTCTTTCCATCTGGCCGCAGATCAAAGAAGAAGCTAAGTTGCAATAGGCAGTTATGGAACCCCCCAAAAAGCTGGGCTTAGTAAAAGTCACCCCACAAATTGACACTAGTATGGAGAAGAAGTAAATAACGTTAACTTGTAGCGTTAAGAAAGCCATAGCTTGGCAATAGACCAACCTGCGCTATGCCATCACTTATGTACGTCCTAAAAGCTTCGCTTGCATTCTGCAGTTGGGAGAATATATCAACCTGTTGAGAAAAAAGAGTGCATTTTGTCAGTGAAAGTTTCGACCAAGAGTCCGCAGAACACGACTTACGCATAAGCACGGCAAAGAAACCATAAAGAAATAAAATAAGCTCCACACCTGAGGATATAGCTGGGTGATACGATATAGCTCATAGAGACCAATTGTACAAGTCTGCTTATCACCGATCTTCTTAAACACTGCAGCAAGCTCTTGCTGCCAAGTGGAGGTCAAAGAATACACAGTCAAGGATTGCAGTAATGAACACGAAGGTGCTGTAAACAATAAGTCTACTGACCCGATGAATTCAGCGTATAATACCATAGAAGGAGCGCAAAACTTACTTTCAGTTGAGCCTCGGCAGAATGATTTGATGGTGAAGAGCCTCCGTTATTTGTTGCAGACCAATGCGTTTGGCCAACGGTTCCCAGTGTCTACAAGATACCAGGGAGGGAAGAACCAAAAACTCATCAATTGAATCGTTTCACCGTGTGAATGCAAAGGGAATGACCCAAAAAAATTGTTGATCAATATAGCATTTAATTGATACTGTTACAAGATCATTGGGATTTCCCCTTAAACCAATTGGAGGTTCTCTTCTGAGAATTCCTGCCCAATTACGTTACTTTAAAACTTACAGGAATCCAGGTAGTTGAACAATGGAAATCTTGCTTCTTTTAAGGTCACCAAGCTTCTGAATTTCTAAAAAGTAACTAAAGATGCTACTCACCCATCGCAGACTACCTAGCTACATCAATACCCCTCGTTCGAGTTACACAAAGATTTCGCCTACAGTCCAGATTGGTTCCATGCTGTCTATTTGAACAAGACATTGATGTATCTCTGAACCATTTATTCCTAAGTTACTAGAAGTTTGAATTCTTTTCAAAGCACCTGTAGGTTGAGGTCGATGTAAGCAAGGATGATAGGCTGAGGCTCCAAATCAATAGGCACCAACGAGAGGTGACCTTTGATTGCAGAACCACGGAGCTTTACAAGCTCGTGCAACAATGTCTTCACCATGCGCAAGGGCTTGTCATCTGCTCCAGCTCTGTTTCAAAGACACTTCGATGCATTGAATACCGAGTAGATTATAAGACGGACGAGGCGGAGAATGGGTTAAAATTTAACTCTCGCCTCAAAATGATAAGTACAAGGAAAATACTAAGATTGAAATGTGCAAGAACGGAGTATAATACTGCAACAACCATGGTATTTACACTCCATAAGCTTATACCTTTTCCGTATTTCTGCCATTCCCAGCTCTTCAAAATATTCGTGAATACTTTGGAGAATTCGGTCGAGGTCCACCTCAAGCAAAGTTGAACCGAGAACCTGCCATTAGAGGAGCTTCACATGGTCAAAACCCTCACGCCTAATCGAAAGCACAGCAGTATCAAGTGGATATGATGATAACAGAAACAAACCTTAGTAAGCTTGATAAGGCACTTCACAACAAGATCCAGAAATTTCTGATTTCTGACAACTGTTGTTCCCTGTTGTCGACCAGCAAATTTTGATGAACCCATAGGTCGCAGTAGGTAGATCAAGACTACAAATGCTGAAGTACGATCTGCATTTTCCTGGACACGTCCATATTGGCATGCTAACATAAGTTGAGACCTTTAATGGACAAAATCAACGGCTTCTCTTGAGGAAACTTAAGCATCAGATAAACACCTCCGAAAGTGATTTCTAAGATGGGAAAATTTATTGACCCACCAGTATTTTCAGCATCAAAACATTCATAGCCTTAAGCAGCTGACTACCATCATCCATGAGTAGGACCCGCTCGTCCAAGAGCCAAACTAGAAGTTCGGTGATAAGATTATGCAAAGTGCCTTCCTTGACAGCTCGTGCAAGTTTCTTGATTTGAAAAGTCTATGCAAGACGAAGTCACATGCTTCAGATTCAGATTATAACTTTTTTGAGAACTGCACCGCTTCAAAAGATTGCACGCCAATCAGTGACACAAAGGATCACACCTAAATTTCATCTCGAACCATAGCGAGTCGAATAAATGAGGTTCTTTCGACTTGTCATACATACCTGCATAAGAGTATTGAGGACATATTTACAAGATCTTGAGGAGGCTCCAGCCAGACCTAGATTGAAAGTTGTTGTAACCTGGCAGGATCAAGTATTTTGGAAATTTCAAGAACTGATTGAACGAACAAATAAATAAACGCAGTACCTGAATCCTCAAGTAGACGATTTATTTTGAACTCACCGCTAGTACGTGAAGAGTAACGCATTTACTCCTATGTTAGTAACATTCGGAACAAGTTCTGAGGAAAAGATGTGACAAATTCTGCAACAAGAGGTACTTGGGGCCGCTATCATAATTAGCATGATCACAATTTTGAAACTGTTGAGTACGGTCATAATGTTTGACTCCAAGACCTATGAGAATACAAGCAGCTCCACAGCAATAAACCCAGCAAAGTCGAGAAGAGTTCATTACTTTGACAAAGAGAGTGGTAACGAGGAGGTCCGCATCGTTTGCAAGTTCATCAAGAGCACCACTATCTGGATCTCCAGCAGCTTTTGCCAGTTCGTGACAAACAAGCTTTAGGCCATCAACCACCTGAAAGTATTGCTTCCCATCTTAGGGTTAAGGTTTTCATACAGTGTAAAAAACAAAAATATACAGAAAGACTGATGAGAGTATTTAATAAAACATCACTAAGTTAAAAACCTGTTCTGATGATGTTGCATTATTGATAATGTCAAGCGCTTCATTCCAGTCCAATGGACTTGATTGTCGCAAATTTCCATGAAGTCCCTCAATTCCAGCGTCGGAGTGCCCGTTACTTGATCCCGAACTGAAAGTTGAGCTATCAGAATGAATTCATTTCAAGTAGCTAATGGAAAAAATTCTAGTGTCTACCCAAGGCTTTAGATCAAACTACGAACTTAGTATTACTTCAAGCTTTTATGCGTTGGAAAATGCATGGTCGGGACAAGCAAAGAAAGTACTCACATTCACATACTATCATAAAAAGCGATTAATCGACAAAGGAGGACGGAGTTTCAGTCAAAGAAACAGGAAACGAGAACAAATGCATCACATTTAGAAAAATTCCACAACCAAATAAAAATTACTATGTTCGGAAAACGACTAAAGCGGAACAAACAATGTCAATAACTAGATCTATAAACTCTAGGTGAGAATTAAAAGATACACGCCCCAGTGCTAGGAAGTGTGATATAACTGAAAGTGCAAAATTAAGAAGTGGTCATGTACCTCAAAGAATTCCTCTAAATATGATAATTAACGTTACACAAAATAATTCAGGTCCATCCCTTATTACTGAGAGACAACCAGTCATAAACCTATAGTTTAACAACTAACCTGGTATCCACAGCAGAGCGCTTTGCAGAAGCTCTCCCTTCATCAGCCCTTGCCTCAAGGACTCTTGCTTCCTCTGCTCTAGCTCCACCAGGTTTACCTTCCCTTCGTTTCTCCATTTCCCGAGCCTGCATCCATAATGCAGGGATCCACATTCTAAGTCCGAGAATGAGCAGATATTTAAATGGCTAACTACAATTGAACAAGGAAGAGGAGAGCCAAGGTCTACTATTGCGGAACAAAATGTAAACAAAACTTCAACTTACTGTCCACTTGAATTTTTCATCCATGGCTGCTTTTTGCGCTCCTGAAATCTTACCCACATACTTCCAAATATCGTCACCTGCGAGACAAATAAAAATAAGGTTGTGGAAAACATCAACGATCAAAACGGGTACCCACAGTATTGCACAGCAGAGCGGTGCGTAAATTAAGCCAGGAGGACAAAACGAGACTAATTTGATTTATCTGTTTATTTACACGAACAAATCATCCACTGACTCAGAATCACTAAGATTCTAAGCATGTATTAACGAGCTAGAGCTAAATTCATACACAACTGAACATCCACCAGTTGGCTTAACAAAGATAAACAACTTCCTAACAATGATTAAAACGCACCGAGAATTTTGTACGCAGTTGCAAGAGATGCTAGAGATGCTTTCCGAATATCACCGTCTCTTTCAACAGTAAGTGCTGCTATGGATTGCAATGCTTTAGTAGGGCCCACAATCTGCATCACAAAGGAGTCTCATGTAAACTCTGACCAGGCAGATAAATTCAACTGATAATTTATTTAGAAACGACAGACTTATTTTGAATACAGCTAATTGAGGTGGGTGTAATACAAGCAAACTCCAAATATTTATAAAGAGATAAGAAATACTTGGAAGACTACGACCGAGGAAAAGGTTTGGGAGGACCTACTATGAGTGAAGAACAGGAAAAGGCCAAACAAAAATAGAAGCTGTTTACTATATACGAAGTTTTGAATACAAGTAGACTGTCGATAACAAAGACCAATCCTAGCATTAGAGTTCATGTAGGCATCGTGAAGTTAATAATAAAAAAATCACCAGTCCACAAAAACCATGTGAAGATAGGTCAGGAAATACCTCAATTCCACACTGCTCTATCATAAACTCAATGTTCTCGACACATTCAATCCTAGTACGGTTATTCTTCGATTTTAGACCATCTGTCATAAAGCCAAACACTTTTGGAGCCGGGTAGATAGAGCACAACAGCCTTATCAACTCCCGAACTTTCTCTCGAACCTTCTCTATGTTGTGTCCGGACTGTTCCAAACAAAAAAGGCGTTAACTTCTGCACATTGTTTCAAATCTTAACAGTCGATATATATGTAACTATCAAGATACCGGCATATATGACAGTCGATGTGACGGTAGACAACATTCCATAATCATTAAGGACGAAAGTTTCGTGCTAGGGATATGAAATACCTTTTCCACCAAACAAGGGAACAAAATATTTGCTTCAAATTCACTGAATATGTACGCTTCACCCTTCAATCCCTCCACTAGAGCAAAAAGGAAGTCAAAGACCTGGATCAGCACAACCACTGGTCAGGCAGACATAAAGTTCGCGATACTAGTAGGGTAGATATAGCTAAAGAGCTACAGTAAAACACGATGGGTATGAGACAACAGTCAACCAGTAAGAGTGCAGAAAATTGTTTGAGGTGACCATTTTCAAGTTCAGACAAAGACTGCGCCACCTTTAGAAGACATGTCGTATTTGATTCTGCAAATCGTATCGACATCCACCGGAAAATAACATCCAGGATCTCGATGATCTCTTTGGTTTGAGTTGGAATAGCCTGTACAAAAATTCAAACAAACAAGTTAAGTTACTCATAACAAGAATTGACTTGAACGAGAAACCCACGAAGACCTTTGTCAGCCAATCTACCTGCAACTCAAAAGGATCACCGAGTGGCCAAAAACCACATCCAGTAATACACATTATACTAACACGGCAAAGTGTAAGCACTATCAGCGCTAGCTCACCACTGATTTAGATGCAACTTGACAGATAGATGAACGAGTACATACCCTTTGAAGCATATCAAGTCCTTCAATCTGCTTCTTAAAATCTGGACTGAGAAGTTTCTTTTGAAGATCTTCTCGGAAGAACTTAACAACATCAACCTACACAGTCAAAATTTATCATAACAAAATAGAATTAGTACTCATACTATCTAAGGACCATGCGCACAATAACAAACTAGCATATCCAAAGGGGTAAAGACAGTGAGAAATTAGTGCATATTAATTATGAGAGAAGCACCAACGTACACTTGCACATATTAAAACCAGTACCATGTCGAGATACAAGACCTGTAGCAGATCATCATGCTAACTTTGAGGAAGTTTTCTGTGAAGAAACAAGTAATTCTTTAAATTCACCTCTATGTCATGTGGCTGTTCTCTTCTTGCAGCATCTTCGAACTTATACTTGCGGGAATTCAACCTTTCGCGATCGTTCTAAACAAACACTAGAAAATGTCAGTGAGTGTTCAACCTGAACGATGGCAAGTTAGTAGAGTGCTACCCAAATATGATACTAAGAAAACATTGCAGGATAAAATTCTATCGAGTCATAAGTCATGTATCTAAACTTCACGCACTGCTTTCCAGTGCTTATGCTTCGATACAAATTAGTAAATAATCCTCTAATAATAAGAATAATAATAATAAATGTTAAAAGACAATTTAAGTAACCAGAACGTTTGTACACCTTGTGTGAATCTTTCAGATTAAATAATGCTTGTCCTTGCATCTGTGACTCATACGCTTCGGCAGCCAATGCAGCTGATGTCTTCGTATGTTTTGAACCCGATTGCCTCTGCCAAGATAAACTGGATAAGAAAACTAAATTGTATAATAATATAACTTTCAGAATATACATTGACCGCATTAAGAGTTTTGAATAAAACGTACATGTGGAATACAAACGGCTGACTGTCAATCACAAGGCATTGAGGAATATACCTGGAGAAAGTGATAATTTGGGTGGGTGGCCAAGTGGGTATATAGAGATTAAAAACACAGACAAGCATATGAATAGGTGAAGGTTAATTCGAGGCTTACAGCGGCTGCTCCACGACCAATAGTACTAGGATTTCTACTCGAAGCTCGAACCTCTGAAGTGGACACTTTGCTTCCAGCTACAGGAGATTTACTCATTGTAAAAGAATCCTCTGAAGCACCTGCAAAGAGTGAAGGTCAACTTCACAAATATAGACCTACTCAACTGTCTACGACACATATGCAGGTGCAAGCAAAAATATCAAAAAGTTTATCAGACGCACAACCACGATTCTAGAGACACTCTTTAATAAGCTTGACAAATGAAACCATCGCGCCACACACGAAAAGAAAGATGAGACAGCAAGTAGCCTTCTCCAGAACTCACTAGAGGATCTTTGATGGTCGAATACAGTCTGAAGTGCAGCTAGCGCTGATCCTTGAATGCTTTTGGATGCTTTCATCACCTGCACCATAGCTAATCATTAAATGACTATAACCTTCAAACGTGTGGACAATCACATGGTCTAGTTGTCATGGATTAGGTACAGCAGCTAACTGCAGTCCTGACACCATCAGCGAGCCATTAAAACACGTACACTTAGAAAAGGCATACTAGTAACGAAATTACAATAACTATAAATGCAGCAGCGGTAGTACCGGCTCAATATCGAATACTCGAATAAGCTCCAATAAGCACGCTTCAGCAGATTTCCGCATTTCAACAAATTTGTCCTGCAGCAAGGTATTTTGCCAACGTGCTGCATAAGAATTGTTACATTTACAGCTGGTATTATTAAACCAATTATTATAAGCACCCAAAATGACACACCTGTAATCCCATAGAAATGGGTTTAACTAGCTGCAACAACACTGGCTGATCCCCTTGTTTTGCTATATTTCTAGCCACCCACTCAAAAAGGTCCTTTCGTCCTTCGGCACAAATCTTGGCCTCCGCCAATGCAGGAATGATATATGGAAGCTGCAACGACAATTCTCAGGTAAATTCCGATTGGTAACAAATTAATGTAGCAATAGGATTGAATTAAGAAAACATGGAATCGGGTAGGCTTTTGATACCATTTTATCAAGGTGCAATAACAGCACCCAGGAGTCTAGCATCTTGACTACTGCTTCACGAACAACCTTCTTATTATCACCAAGGCATTTCAGAGCGTCGGTCAAAATTCCCTGAACAGAGTATGTCAAGCATTTCAAATGAGTTGCAAACCAATACATTCAAACCTCTCGCAATTAATTACTTCGGATGCATTAATAGTTAAGTAAAATATCTACATTGACTTAACACCTCAATATCCAACATGATCATAAGCTACTCAACGCAACCATAGAAAAATCTTGAGGTACTCCACAATGCACTTAAAGTAAAGCAACTTCATTTCATCAGTTAGGATGTAGAGAGATAAGTTAAGTTGTAAAATCCTGTACTTACTTTGCTGTGCTTTTCAACAACCGGACCCATAGCTGTTGCAATAGTACCAAGGGTGGCCAATGTCATCATAACTAGGTTCTTGTTAGAATCGTTAAGTCTCGCCTTCAAGCTCATAAAAAGTTCACCTGACATTGATAAACATGAAATTCAGAAAGAAAATATGCACAAAACAACTCCAACGAATATTCAGGTGAATACGAATGAATTGGATTATAGAAAAGATTACTGTCAAGCATTTCAAACAGAGTATGTCAAGCATTTCAAATTACTGATTTAACGAAGCCCACAAGAAGCAAATTAAGAGATTCTGAGAGCGATGAATAAGATTCTTGACAAACTTGCTGACGTCAAACAAATTCGCCGCCGGAAGAGGAGCACAGAAGTAATATGGGTCAGAGAACCAAAATCTTCACCCATACAAAGGCAACGAAGTATACACTAATTGGTAGTAAAGAATTTCCTACGGAAATAAGCCTAAGTTATCATCGACAGAAAATGTACCTGTTCCAGTAGGTTGAATCCTTTTGTGAGCCTCCTCAATGATCCCATTCAAGCTCTCAAGAGCTTCTTGTCGTAGCTGCAAGCATGACCAATGTGGAATAATTACGTGAAATAAATAAGACGGCAAATCACGCAATCAAAATAAATACACAAAATAAAAACCAACAATCGATTGTGATCTTTACATTGACCCGGGCCTGTAGTACAGATGTGCGATTTTCAATTCATGCACATGCAAAGATATTGGACTTGAATAAATTTCACATCAATGTTTTTCGTTCATAATGCAATCCACAAATCAAAGTTAAGCACACAAGAGGATCGAACCACTTACTTTCCAGTCCGGACTACCCATACTCTTAAACAATGCCGGAGTTAACTTTCCACTAATGTCTTCCCGAGGTAAGCCGTCCGTGCCACCAGACGGAGCTCCGACATCAACCGCTCGTATAGCTCTTTTAGGAGCAGAAGCAGGTCCCTGCAAAGTCCCCCACGTTATTCTGTAAATGCCAAGGATAAGGATTCGAAGAAAAAGGAAGCACAAATTAAAACATTCAGTTGTTTTAAGATGTTGTATTGAAAATACGTACCTCGTAAGGGTTTTTCTCAATCTCCGCGTCAATCATGGTTTGGAGTTGTGGCTTCACATCAGTTAAGAAGCCTTTCAGGTCTGAACGGAAGAAACAAACATGCAAACCATCAAACTTCATAAAATTTAGAACGAACGTGGACAGGAATTATCGAAGTCGATAAATCAAATTCAGCCAATAAATGTAAAGCAATATGCGGGGTAAGGACCTGGCCCAACAAACTTGTGGAGAACACCAAACAGCTTGATAGTTGCAGTTCTGACAGCAGCAGCACTTGAACCAAGACCCGTCTCTTTACAGAAGTTAATGAGTTCCTGCAATCCATCAAGATAAAATAGAGAGAATCATCTTCCGAAGTGCATAGAAATTAAGAAAAGTACGCAATACCAACGATCGACTAATTTTTTAAAGGAGAACATAGCAGAGCGTATATCAAGACCAAAGCGGCCAACGGATCACACCTTCAGCGGCACATGCCCAATTCCGAAGTCATCAAGCGCAGTAACCATCCAACTCAAACCTTCACTCAGAACTTTGGGGTTCTTGTGATCCTTCATAATCTTGAAAAGCTACATCACATGAGCCGCGAAATGTTCAGACAAAAAAATTCCTATTTAAAACCAATAAAAATGCCACGAGTACAGATAGAATCAAAGACATGAACAACTGCTAAATCATACCCTTTCAAAGACAAACTTAGGACCAACTGCCTCGCAAAAAGTAGTAAGACATTTTGTGGCCTGTATCCTTGTTTTAATATCACCAACTTTCTCTACGACGCCTGTACAGAAACAAATGATTATTAGTATTAAGTAAAAATTAAAAATCGACTGGAAGCATTGGTTTGTAAGTACACCACCTACAGAGCTCTGGCACTCATAGAGGATATGGGGAGAGAGAAAATAAAACACTGATCTGATACATAAACGAAGAGGCATAAGGTGACTACCTGTAAGGCATAGAACGACACACTTCTTAGAGAAACGTGTAGCATTCGTGGCGATCAGTATGACAGCTTCTATGGACTTTTGCTGAACCTGCAAGTTCGAAATTCCACTGCAAGCATGAGATATTGATATACCGATGCTGATACTATGAGGTGAGCATAGAAAAACGAACATATTTAGAACAGCTGATATTCTGTGCAGAATCCCGAATAACGTACCTGAATATTTTTCTCATTCCAGCCAGGTAATATGCACAAGAGTCGAATGAGCAGCTCAGCATATTGATCGAGCGTCTTCAATCCTTCCACGGTATCCCTAAGAGAAGTAATTGCTGAAACAAATGACACAAATTAGAACAAGCTCGCTAAAGATCACCCACCATTACACTCTAAACGACATTATGCATGGACTACAACTGACTTGGTATCAGTAGGATTACATGTACATAGAATCCAAAGTTATAAGATGACAACCTCTTGGAAAAAACAGTCTTCTACTACCATTATTAAATGGGTTACTTAAGGCCGCAGCCAGGATACAGCGAAGACCACTATAGAGTAAAATGTTGATACAAAATACGAGCTTAAATTTCTTCACAGAAAGAACATCAGTTGGTTTTCCAGTGCCATGAGAATGAAAAGATTAACAGAGCACAAAGCTACACCCTCTACTCACCTTCAAGGCGCTCTTTCCAATTTGCGCTCTTTAAATTTGTTATTACTTCCGATTCAAAAAGTGGACCGAGTCTCGTTTCAATGTCTTCCAAACTCATCTCTCCAGGCTGCCAAATAAAGCAAAATCAGTGGATCAGATCCAAATGATATCAGTGGTAACAACATTAACTTTAAGTCCAAATCAAATCCTGAAGTATCCAAGACCCATAGGTCCTTGAATTTAAAGGAAATTAGTGTCCTTAAATTAAATGGAACTGCTAGCGGTATAAACTGCATTAAGTTCGCGAGTCCTAAGAGCTCCCAGTAGGCAAAATGAGTCGAAATCTACCTCAACGTCTTCAGGTGCTTCAGCTTGAGGTTTGGCTGAAGTTGAGCTTCCATCAGATTTCTTTGCTCCACCTGACTTGGAAGCTCCACCAGGCTTAGAAGATCCCCCCGCACTAATCTTCTTAGGAGTCTAGCCCACAAGCACGCAGATTTTAGTCCAGAAATCAAATGTAAGAAAGAAAGTGTAAATAAGATATAATAATGCAACAAAAATTGGAAAGAACATCTTTGCTCATCATCTTTAACAGAAATGAGGTTGAGAATATCAACATACAGCAGAAAGAGGTCTTTTTCCAGTCAGAAGACTGGCTGCAGAGGCAGGCTTGGCAGCACCCTGTCAACAAACTCTCACTTTAATCCACAACAAAGATAGACCAAATATAAACGCACCACAACTTTCGAGAGAGATAAAAATGAAATCACTACCACCACATTAGCAAAATGCGGGCAACGAGAAATTCTCTTCTGGTTTGAGCAGTAGATAGCCACAGAACACAATGAAGTGAGGAGGATGTGAGCTCAAGATAAAGACGACCATAATTCGTACATTTCCAACAGAAGAGCCATTACCAACTGCCTGGGATCTAGAGAACGCTGTCACAGAGATTCCCACAAAATAAACTCAGAAAAATCCGGCACCTTCCAGCTCATCAAATCTCGGAGACCAAAGTATAGCAAGCACGGAGATAACAATTCAATTTTGCAGATAACTAAACTGCAAGCTTACAAAGAACTGAAATCGAAATGATCTAGGAAAAGTTTTCAGAACACGTTATAAAAACTGGAATACCTACCTGGAGGTGCTGTAGCAGGGGCACTGCTTTCAACACCACAAAGCTCAACAAGCTTTTTCTTCCTGACTTCATCTAGCTTCTCCAACGGCCTTTCCAACACCTTCATGCCTACAATCTGCAGAAATTGCAGGAATACTTAAACATGAGTATATACAAAAACACAATTCTCTAACACGCTTCCCCAAATCGACCCAAACGCGATTTCAACTCCGCACATGACGTGTGACTGTAAGTGTGTGTGCGTGCGAATAAACCTTTAATAGCAAAAATGAAAATTATGTTGAGAATCTACAACATGAATGTTCAGCAATACCTTTGCAAAAGCAGCCAGGGCCAGAAAAGCAGCATCTCGAACCTCTGGAGAACTATCATTTAAGCACTGCATCCGAATATAAGTGCAAGAAATTAGTGACAGGTAACAGCAAGATCCAAAATAAAAAAATAAACCTAAAAAAACACTATCAAAGACATAATGTGACTACAATTGGATTGATGACCTCAAGTATCACCAACCTGGATATACCCAAGGTAACTTAAAAAAAACATACCTCCATCAACATAGGTATGTATTCTTTATGCAACTTAAGAACAGTCGGTTTGTTACTGGTCTCAATGCATGTAGCCACCCATGTTAAACAAGAAGATCTTACTAGAGGAACCTTATTTTTGGTAGCGAGTTTAACATCTGAACAGCACGTTTGCAACAAACATTGTTGTTAGTATACTTCAAGTGATGAATTTAACACTACGTCACGAAACTCCAGGAGATCTGTCAGTATTAAAAGATCGAAGAGCGAGGAGTGTTTGATAGCAGGGGAACTGAGCTGATCAGTAAACTACTTGCCTTCAATAACGTCTATCAGTAAGATGCAACCACCCTTATGCATAGCATTGAGTGTTGTCGTTAGAGAGTCAACCATAACCTGCTTTTTCTCTTTCAACTTATCCTGCAAGCCCATTACGAAGTTCCAGGCACTTAACAACAACAATCCAACTCAAAACTAAAGATTTGAAATTATGAAGGCCAAAAATTCAATAAACTCTTAAATATCAACTGGACGTACCAAAAGGACAGGCAGTAGCAACTTCGAGCCAGAAGTGAAATCCTTTCGTAACCCAGTTGCCAAATTGCCAATTGCTTGTACAGCTTCAACAGCAACAGCTATATTTACATCTGTAACAAGCTGAAACATCGCCACAGAAACCAACTTAATAATTCCTCATGCGTCCTCAAAAAAAGTAAACAAAAGCAACCTTCAACACATTATCAACTCGAAGGTATACCAAGAAGTCATGAGTACTATATTGCTTCAGCTAATAGTATCAACATTATCTTTACAACAAGTTCTAAAAAATGACGAAAATACCAAGTGTAAACACAATATCTCTAGGTGTCATACAATACCTAACCAATATCATAAAATACCATAAAATAAGTGTCATACAATATCATAAAATTCAAGTTTTAAATAAAAGCACCAGCAGGATCCACTAACCTTCTTTAATATCCGCGAGACTTCTGAGAAATCACCATTTGCTATTTTCTTCACAGAAGCCAGCTTCGTCAGCTCAGCCACTGTATCCCGTCTTTCAGACCATTTCGTTGCTTTCTACACCATGAATGATCAAATTCAAACAAATACAAGTAAGAAGAAAATTTGGCAAGATCCATATAAAAGTGGACAGACAATTCTAGGCATACAACCAAGGCACGTCGCATATGCCAATTATCACAAAAAATCTACCAACTATCATTCTGCGCCACAAGAAATCGTCTCACCAATCATAAGAAGTTAATAATAAAAGAAGAATCTCCTCCAGCATGGAAAATGAATCCAGAAGTAACGTCACTAAGTGAGTACGTGCCACATTGCCATCATTATGAGTACTTACCACTCCATCCCAGAAGCTGGACTTGCCCAATGGTGTCAAAATGTCTACAGGATCAACTAGATCGTATTCATCTATATCAGATGAACCTGGCATCATAAAAATCGTCCAACATATCAGTCATCATATTATCAAATATTGGTATGTTATGAATGAGTAAATATAAAAGACGGAACTGTAAGATACCTAGTGCTGCAGCTTCATCGGCTGGCCCCGCCGAGGCCACAGATGCTACTGCTGTTTCCTCACATTCTAATGCCTGCTCAGACCTGTCCAAATGTAGCAACCAACACTTCGGAATGAGGAAGCAAAACATTAGAAGAACCACATCAGAGAGATTAAGACTTTAAAAATTGTTTGCTTCCTGTAGATCGATCACCACCGGATGACATCGAAAATCTTAGCATAGGTACAGTCAGCTCGACATGCAAACCTAATGGCAAAGATTAATTGCTAATAATCACAATGAAGAACATATTTACAGGTGTTCATTTCAGCAGAAAACATTATAAATACTGTAGAACCCAAGACGAGACGCTACTGCACCTGATTTTTCGAGTGGGCTTGGCACCAGAAACAACATTATTAACTTCTGCCTCCAGCTCCTTTTTCTGAAAGAAAGACCACGCGAACAAAATGAATGTTATTCATCATATCCTGAACCTACCCACGGGTGGAACTCTCCGGGAATCAACAAAATAATACACATCTTTGAAATCGACGGATTCACATAGATCTAAGGAAGACAGCTTGCAAATATTCGCATACGAGGCTCACCATGGTATCACGCATCTTATCAAAAAGAAGGTTCTTTACAGCATCTTTTCCAATCCACCGGCAAAGTTCAATAGTTAACCCTTTCGCGCAGGCTCTAACATTAGCGTCGTTATGATCGAATAGGTCTGGAAGCATCTTGATTATCCGTTTCGCAGGAACTACTTTGGTACCAAACTGACTGCAGTATCACCAGAAAAAATTCACTCGAAGTATACGAACAAGAGTATCTAACGAATAATAAGTTTCTCTCATCGGAAAAGAAAAAGAAAAAGAAAAAGAAGAAGAAGAAAAAAAAAAAAACACTCGTTTCGAAGGCTGAACGCACCTCACTGCCTGATACATTGCATCAACTGCAGGAACCACTGCTTTCGCAAGCTTAGCTTTTACAGCTTTCTCCATAGCATCCTAAGCCAAATAAAAATGCCAAGATCAGTGTTGAAATAGATGCAAAATTATCTGATAGAAGATTCTGAAACGTACAGATCTGTTGGAGAAAATCACAGAACACAAAATCGAGAAGCTGTATACTTAAGATGTTGACATCATGAGAAACACCTGAAAGGCAGGTCATGTTTCTGAACTACGAATTTCGAAGGAAGGGCATTAGTTAACCTCACATCATCACATCCTGGAAGGCATCTGTGATACATCGCACCTACTAAGCACTAGACAAGAGCAAGAACTCCCACGGACTGACACAGGAAAGTTCAAGAACCATAGATTGAGAACAGTGCCACTTCACGAAAAATGGCCAATGCAAGACTCAAATTTTACCCTGAAGGCAACTCAAAGTAGCAGGAACGAACCAAAAAAGCATCCGATGCTTCAAGCTCGACCCAGAGAAGAAACACTGCTTGAGATTTCTCTAGTGTCTTTGGTCGACCTGTCATGCACTTGGCTACGATAGAATCACAAATTTCCTTCGAATACCTGCAAGAATAACGATCTACTCTAAGTGCCACAATAATGACATCGTACAACAGAGAAGAGGAAGGTGCTCCAGATAAGAACATATATCCACCTTCCATCAACAGTTCTATTTGTGATATATGAGGTTAATACGGGACGTGCCAAACAGTAAGCAAAACTTTCGTCCAACCATCTAACTAATTGGCCACAACAGACTTAAAAAAATGTTGCGTTGAGTCGGGTTGCAGTGACATTGTTACAAGCATTAGATGCATACACAAGCTCGCAATAGACAACAACACGACTCGTAACCTCAGTGAAAAAACATAAGATCCTTCTCAAGCTATAACTGAGTAAATAAGGTATCAGTCACAAAAAAATCGTGATCATTTGGTGTGCATGAAGTAAAAGAAGGTCTTCTGATCACGACTCTGCCGGAAATCCTGGAAGGTAGGGGATAGAAAAACGCGCCTGGCTGCATCTGTATCTGCTGCACGTAGGTATGCTATGAGTGCATCCAAAGCCTTCTCTTGACAGGGAGCATTTGAATCGGCCACTGCTTTCTTGAACAGTGGACCTGAGCAATTTACGACAACAAGTATTCGTGAATTGACAATCTCATGACCATAAGTTTCACAACATCAGAAGACGAAACGTAGGAGCTTGACCCAGCACCCGGAATCTGAATAAAAGTGCCGTCTTACACACTGAATTATCATCCTTCACCACAGAACTTAAAGTAGCTAGCCTAAAAACCTACACGATGGGACTATTCCAATACAAACATTTACTTACGAAAAACAGGATGAATCAGGATAATCAAAGTAAATGACCTTAGATGCAACTAAACAACTGCTTCAAAAATCAGTACGGCAGCATTCCCACATGCGGAACCTAGCAGTATTCACGTTCTGTTTTGTTACGGAATTTAAAATAGCCAGTACTTTCACCAGATTCCTAGATACAGTTCCAAGAAATACAAACTAAATACACGCAACTATGGGTTGATGCTAAACCCGGGCCTTTATCACTTGTTATCAAATCTCACTGGAAAACAATGTCGTCTTAATGCCTACTGGAAAATATACATGCTCCAAGCGGTAAAAACTCAATGAAATTACTGAAGGCTACAGGATCACTAGGTAAGCTTGAACCCCGAATTCAAAAATCACAAATCACGATCTTACAAAACCTATTCTTCAATAGGTGTGATAATTATCTAAATGATGAGCTGACATTGTTAAGTGGCTGCAGCTTCTGGCAGCTTATAAGAGGCCAGTTCTTTCAAACACTAGTTTTGATTACTCTGAAAGGTTTGGGTCTCCTCAACAGTCCACATACTGGCAATAGTACACAAGCCTTCACCTTCTCTCATTTTAAAATGATTCAGCACCTCAAATGACTAATCCAACAGATGGCCTATCACCAACTGAATTGGTTGAACAAATTCAAGACATATTGCTAAAAGATAACGGAAGGAGCAGACTTAAATAGCTACTAATTAGGAACAGGACCGTGCTCAGGCCACCAATCCATTTCGATCTGAGAAATAGCTCAATTGCGTGACTCCAACAAAATACGTCGGAAGATACACAATCAGTGAAGTAGAGCACAGTAAAGCTCAACAAAGAAACCTAAAAATTTACAAATGGGATGAAAAGATTGTCTTGACCGCAGACAAGTACGCTTGGAAGCATTCCGAGGCACTGAATTGATAGAGAAAACGCTCCAAGTGGAACAGTGCCTGTAACGATGTTTGATTCTGAAGCTCTACGATTGAAATCACCACAATCCAGGAGCCAGACTATACACTCAAGCATTCCAGAGAAAACTTGCCGATTGCAAGTTCATCTCTTGATATCCATCTCCAAATCTAGTGGCTGCAAAGTTGCTTCACAGTCTGAAAAGTAATTCTAGGACGGGCACTATATTCATGATCATTTGAGCACGTTACAATCAGCAATAGAGAAGAAAAATGATCCACTAAACACCAAAGGTAAAAAACTTGCGCCTCGGTGATCCTGACAGCCATTGTCAACTCAATCCAAACAATTCTCCCCGAGTCTGCCAGGTATTGATGGTCGTGCCAGTGCTTAGAAAAAAGCTCTCACGAAAAGTTGAAAAAAATCAGAATAGACCCGGAGAACGCCTTGCACGGTTCACTCACTCGGAATTCACAGTCATTCGAATGGCTCGAGGGCTGTTAGCAGCATACCAAGAATTACTATTTTACTTTGATTGCGAAATCAGCACTACCGTGCAGAAATCAAAAACCACAACACGACAATACTGACGACCTGGTGGGGCAATACATTACCAAATTCTTTGAGACGGGAGTCTTTGGGGTCCATGATGCCATCGCATACGGCAGCAATGTCGATATTGGCGTCATTCCTAACCTTCCAATTCTTATGAGCCAGTCTATCCTCCCAGGCCATTTTCTTGGCCTCCTTGAGGAGCTTCTCATCTTCGGACATTGTGGCGGCACCTCCAGCAGCTCTGCTGTTCCTTTAAAACGACAGCCACAACCCGACCAAATTCACCTCTGCCGCATCACCAACTCTCTTGCGCTCGTCTCCGCTCCCCTCCACTCCTCTAGCCCCTCTCACCAGATCCAACTCACCTCAACCTAAAACTCCTCGGAAAATTAATCAAAAACCCTGCCCGCCCCATCCTCGATCACGAACTACGCAACCATCCCCTCTCGAAACGCTCTCTCTCTCTTTCTCCCCCACCGATTCCTCCCAAGCTCACCGCCTTTCCCTCCCCTTAGCTCCACACAGAAGAAACAAGATCCAGGCTCGCTGTGCTCACTCACTCACTGCTCTTGATCCGCACTAGCGCACCACTCTTCGTTCACCCGAAGAACAAAAAATAAGCGGCGAGGAACTGAAATTGAAATTGAAATGCCCCGCACAAAATAAACAACACCGCCTCAAAGTAGGAAGAAGAAGAAAGAAAGAAGAAAAATGAAAAGAAAAAAGAGGCAGGCAGGGTATTCTACTTCGGCGAAGCTCCCCCGAGAAGAGCGACAGCAAAAGAAGAGCAATCCTGAGCCTAGCTCGCCATGAGAACCAGGACGGAAGGAAAGGAAAGGAAAGTGAAGGAAGGAAAGGAAGGGAAGGGTCCGGGAGACGACGTTCAGCTTTTGAAATGGGAACGGGAGGGCGAATGGGACTCAGCTTTGCACCAGGGCAGGAGCAGGAGCAGAGGAGTCGGAGGAGGACTGGGCAGGGCTGGGCTAGGCAGGGCTGGGCCCCCTCCCTCCCTCTCACAGCAAAGACGACGACGAAAGACGGAGACGAAGACGAAAGATGACGACGAAGATGGAATGAATCCTGCCCCGATTCGATACCATGATCATACCCGGTAATCCTTCTCTTCCTCCTGGGTATCATCTTCAACCCCCGAGGGCGGGCATCACCGGCAGTTGGAAGAAGGAAGACATGGATTGCTTTTGAAAAATTCCTTCCGTTCCGTTCCTATCTATCTATCTCTTTCTATCGATCTCCCTGTTGAACGACGACTCGTTCGCCCGTTCCTTCTATCAAGGAATGAATGAATGAATGTGGTGATCCTCCTCCTGCTCCTTCTGCTGACCCCCCCCCCCCCCCGCGTTCTTCCTCTCTCCCTCTCTGTGCCCTGGTGTGTGTGTTCCCAATGCCATTATTAGGGTTTGATGGAAGGAGGACGAAGGAGGAGGAGGATGCATTGCCCACGGTGGTAGGGCATCATCCTTTCATCCATTCATTGCATTGCATTTGCATGAACAGTTAGGTAGGTCAGTAGGAACCCAACCCCCTTTGGCCCAAACGGATGCTGGGCTGGGCACTACTGCTTTTGCAAACGGGATGACGTGGCGATGCTGCTTCCCCCCCTGCCAAACCCCCAGCTCCACCCCACCTGGCATCCATGCATGGACGAATGTCATCCATCCATCCATCCATCCATCCATCCATAACATCCCCTACCCACCCCATGGGCGTGGATGGTTGATTTCTGCCCCTATAAGCGCGTGCGTAGTGTTGGGCATCCTTTTCCCAAAGCAAAGGTGCTCATGGGTCCCATTATTATAATTATTATTATTATTATCCAGAAGGAGTGTGTTGTTACTCTTGTGTAAGTACCCTGATCCATTTTACTCTACTCTTCTTTTTTTGAATTTTTTGTATTTTTATTAGGAAACTGAGTAAAACAATTAATGAAATTGAGCGTGTGGCACATAAGTTTCAATTCTGAAATCAAATAATAAAAAATTCTGTGTTATTGTGGATATTTGTATTTCAGAGCAAACCTTTCCATATTACCATAGCAACATAAATTTTATTTGGCACTACTGTAATTACTTTTCTAAGTAAGAATACGATTTTCACATTTTTAAAGTTTTTCATTTGCACATGTACTTGATACATTGAAAGAAAATATCAAAATATAAAGCCACTCAATATATTTCACATAATATCATTTCTCACAATAATATTATATAGTGATGAATTTTAATTTTGAATTGCATAAATTTGAATATTTCAAAAAACCTCTAAATTGTTATGACTTGAAAATTTTACATAAAAACATATCTGATTATGTTTGTAGTATGCCGATGTTTGATTCCCACAAACATCCATTATTGATTTTTTTTTTTTCACTTTTTTTTAGAATCTAACATGTTATTTACATCTTTCTTATTGGATGATTTTTTTTGATGGATGGTTGAAGTATGCAACTGAAGGCTTGTACACTTAACTATTAAAACATCAATTTGTTATTATTATTATTATTATTATTATTATTATAACACTAGGCGCCTTAGTACTTTCTTATCTGAATAAAATTTGCAAAAATTTGTATGTTTTTCCCAGATAATACACTAGTTGCTTCGGAGAGTCATGGTATTGTTTTTTTTTGTTTTTTTGCACTTCAAAAGTTTAATCATATTTAAATCATTTAAATTAATACAATTAATTTAAGGTTAAATAAAAACTATGATATTTTTTAAAAATAATCTATGTAGTAAGCATTCAACATATATATATATATATATATATATATATATAAATTTTTAGTATAATTATTTGTTTATAGTATTGTATAACTTACAATAAAAATATTTATATATGTATATATGTGATGATTAAAATATTACATATATATATATATATATATATATATATATTTAAATTGTATCTTTAATTATAAAAAATTATCAAGTAATTTACTTAATTATATTATATAAAATATTTTTATTTTATATATATATATATATATATATATATATATATATTTACATACTTATATCAAATTTGATAATAAATGATATAATATAATATAATTTAGAATTATTATGATATGTAATTTTAAATCAAAATTTATGTCTTATTTATACTTTATGATATTTTTTTTATAAAAAAATATTAGATACTAGTTATATAATGTAATTTTATGGCATTAAATATATTTTATTTAAACATTAATGTGTCAACTACTTATACATATTTCTTATTCTATGTTTCTATTGTTATAGATATTATATTATATTTTAGGTTTTTATACATTGAAAGAAAAGAACATAATACAAAATACGTTTCTCCCATTTGATTAATATTTTTTATAAATAAAATCATAGATATTATGCATTCTTATATATTATTTAAATAAATTTGTTATTTATTAAGCAAACTTAGTGGCGTATCTACTTGTGATTTTAGAAGAAAATTCAAACTACTAACAATATTCTAACGTAGTGATCTTCTCTACTTGCAACATAAAATCTCTTTTTTAAAATTTTATTGCAAATTATATCTTCTTTATTCAATAGAGTAAGTTCCTACTCTTCTTTTTTCTTTGTATCTTTAATATGTCATGTCTAATTAGTCAATTGAATAAGTAACAACATTTCTTTGACTTATAAGTAAATCTTCTTTTAACTTATACATTTTTTTTTAATTTAATCAATTAAGAATTCATCTTCTTTTGTTTCTATTTGAACTAAATAAAATTTTACCTACAATAAATAAATCGTTCTATAATTATTTTTACATTAATTTGCACTACTACAAAGCTTTTAAAGATCAAGTTTTAATTTAATCTATAATACAAAGAGATAAGGCACAATTAAATAATAAATTATTTAACATTGATATGTTCTTTTATATATAAATGTTGTTGTATAAACACAATATATGTTCTTTTATCACACAAATACTATTGTAAGATGCACTTTCGAAATCATTGGTAGAATCCTTCAAATCCAATTTTTTTTTTGAATAATACTTGAAAAAAGCCAATTATTACAATTATAGAATTAAAAAAATAAATTGAATGCACTAAATTCTATCCACAGTGCAATGAAAGATCAAACAACCAATCAAAACAAACATGCCTATATTTTAAATACAGAAGAAATTATCAAATCATCAATTGCGTTCATGCACAATAACAATGGATAAAGTATTAAAATCAACAATACCTATATCAAAGTGGCATAACCATTACAAATATTGAAGAGCCACACTTATCAATGATATTAATGATAAAAGCCAAATATGCTTTAATAAGTACTCAAGTTAACTCATGCCAATTTAAACTATCTATAGAAAAAAAATAAGAATCTTATTTCTTGTATACTATAGAATATTAAAAGTTGCTTAAAAATATTCTTGAATAAGTGAAATAATAGATACGTACAAATAAGGCCATAAAACTAATTGACTTCAATGTTGAAAAATTTTCAATTACTGACATACTTAACAATACTACAATTAGTATTTTTTTTGTTTAGTTATTCAAATTGAATTTGGAGATACTAATGTATCTAAAACACAAGGCACATTTCAAACCATCACTTCAAATAGTTGCGGACTTAAATACCATAGCCATAGATCTTGATGCCACTATTATGAAAATTTGTATCAAAAAATATCAACTAACTAATGTACTTGTCGATGAAGGATTCGGCATTAATATTATGACAAATTATATTTGAAAGTTCCTTGGACTTTTCAAGCCCAAAGCAACTTTATTCATACTTTCTATGGCAAATGACACTTATATAAAACCCTTTAGAATATTACAAAACATAATTGTTATAACCTAAGAGATTCAAGCATCAATTACCTTTAAGATAATTAAGATGCTTGATGAAAGTCACTTCTCAGTCATTCTGACAAATCTATGGTTAAGAAATATGTATGTATCTTATAACACATTTAACAACAAAATCACAATTCATTGCCAACATCAACACATGCATATTTATATTGATAGTTGTGTAACCTGAGAAAAAATCTCAACAACTTAATAAACCATGAGCAAGGATTAGTCCACTAAACCAAGTCTCAATCAAAAAGTACTAGCATTTGCATTAGAGCCCTATTTGGTTTCTGTTGCAAAAATAAATCTCATAGAAGTAACAAACAATGAATAATTGGATGTACTTGCAAAATTTATTATTAAGCTTTAAATCTACTTCATCATTAATGAATATTGAGCATATATCAAACTAGACATAAACTTAGATATATTTGCATAGTCACATGAGGATTTAAAAGAAATATCCTTAGAGATAGTAGAGCATTGGATTGATCAAGTCTCAATTCTATGCTAATTCAACAAAGGCAAATGAATTCCAATTATATGCAAACTATAAGATAGAAGCTAAAGAAATTTTTATAAGCCAAATTTATTTTTTCCATAGATTTTACCTTCATAGTTGTTACTCATGGTGATTATCTTTAAAAAAAAAATCAAAAACTTTACAAATTTGCATGGATTTTTGTCAGTTAAATGCTACAATAAAAAAAAAAAAAATCATTATCTCTTCATATATATGGAAGAAATCATTAACAAGGTAGTAGGCTATAAAATGTATAGATTCATAGATTACTTCTTCGAATACTATTAGGTGGCTATGATATTAGAGGACAAAAATAAAATTATCTTTTCTATAGAATGAATGTCATTCAAATTCAAAAAAATGTTGTTTGGTACACAAAATATACTAATAATGTTCTAATGTGTGATGGTGTTCACTATTAAGCCATACCTCAAGAAATTCTTTAGAATATATATT